GAAAGTTACATATCTGATTGCTGACAAGCAAAAAATTGTTGGACTATGTCTACAATTAACTAATGAAACAAATACCAAAAGATAATTTTGGGGTGGAGTTTTCCTTAAAGTTCTGAATAAGGGTTATGGGATGGTTTAGCTAAAATGCAACAGTTGTCCCCTACTCAACACGAACACACAACCTTTGGATCGCTAGATGGTCGTGGATTACACACTCCACCCAACTGACCGACTGACCGACCAACCAATCTCCCTCCTTTTTTTTCTGTCTTAGTAGGTATCATACATCTTGGAGGTGCTAAGAAATACATAAAGTGTGTTTCATATGGCTCTGAGGCCAGGCTGACTTACATGGCCTGATGGTGCCACCATGTGGTAGAATGAACTAACTGCAGTATAGCACCTCTCTCACCCTCACCATACCGATTCCTGTAACAGTGAAAGCAATACCATGAGACAACCTACAGAGAGAGGAAAAACATAGCAACCACCAGTGCTGTAGTCAAAAGATGAACAAAGATCAGAAAAATCAATCTATATTTCCCATAAACTCAACAGAAGCCAAACAAAAAGAGGTTTAGCTAAGGAAATGCCGCATCAAAAAGAGTAGTATTTTTTTAAATAAAAAAGAGTAGCATTTTATTCAACAATAGGTTTAAATATGTACACTTATGTAGAGCTTCATCAGTCAGAGCTTCATCAGGCAGAGCTTGAATGTTCAATTATTATATAATTATTACATTACTGTTCTGTTGGCTGTACTATTGTTTATCACGATCCCACCACTGTTGATGCTCTGGGTCTTGCTGAGGCCTTGGTTCTGCACGGTGAGCTGGTGACAGTCGATGTGACGGAACTCCGATGCAAAGACGCCAAATAGGACAAAGAAGCACATGACCAGAGTCCACTCAGAAATGGATGCCATTGAGTGGTAGCCAGTATCAAAGAGTAGACAAATGGCCACTGAGGAGGAAAGGGGAGTCAAGGAGCACAACCCGAACAGGTGACCTTAATGTCTAAAATATAGTTGTTTTTAGGGAGGACATACAGTGAGGGGAAAAAGTATTTGATCCCCTGCTGATTTTGTACGTTTGCCCACTGACAAAGACATGATCAGTCTATAATTTTAATGGTAGGTTTATTTGAACAGTGAGAGACAGAATAACAACAACAAAAATCCAGAAAAACGCATGTCAAAAATGTTATAAATTGATTTGCATATTAATGAGGGAAATAAGTATTTGACCCCCTCTCAATCAGAAAGATTTCTGGCTCCCAGGTGTCTTTTATACAGGTAACGAGCTGAGATTAGGAGCACACTCTTAAAGGGAGTGCTCCTAATCTCAGTTTATTACCTGTATAAAAGACACCTGTCCACATAAGCAATAAATCAATCAGATTCCAAACTCTCCACCAAGGCCAAGACCAAAGAGCTCTCCAAGGATGTCAGGGACAAGATTGTAGACCTACACAAGGCTGGAATGGGCTACAAGACCATCTCCAAGCAGCTTGGTGAGAAGGTGACAACAGTTGGTGCGATTATTCGCAAATGGAAGAAACACAAAATAACTGTCAATCTCCCTCGGTCTGGGGCTCCATGCAAGATCTCACCTCGTGGAGTTGCAATGATCATGAGAACGGTGAGGAATCAGCCCAGAACTACACGGGAGGATCTTGTCAATGATCTCAAGGCAGCTGGGACCATAGTCACCAAGAAAACAATTGGTAACACACTACGCCGTGAAGGACTGAAATCATGCAGCGCCCGCAAGGTCCCCCTGCTCAAGAAAGCACATATACAGGCCCGTCTGAAGTTTATCAATGAACATCTGAATGATTCAGAGGAGAACTGGGTGAAAGTGTTGTGGTCAGATGAGACCAAAATCGAGCTCTTTGGCATCAACTCAACTCGCCGTGTTTGGAGGAGGAGGAATGCTGCCTATGACCCCAAGAACACCATACCCACCGTCAAACATGGAGGTGGAAACATTATGCTTTGGGGGTGTTTTTCTGCTAAGGGGACAGGACAACTTCAACGCATCAAAGGGACGATGGACGGGGCCATGTACTGTCAAATCTTGGGTGAGAACCTCCTTCCCTCAGCCAGGGCATTGAAAATGGGTCGTGGATGGGTATTCCAGCATGACAATGACCCAAAACACACGGCCAAGGCAACAAAGGAGTGACTCAAGAAGAAGCACATTAAGGTTCTGGAGTGGCCTAGCCAGTCTCCAGACCTTAATCCCATAGAAAATCTGTGGAGGGAGCTGAAGGTTCGAGTTGCCAAACATCAGCCTTGAAACCTTAATGACTTGGAGAAGATCTGCTAAGAGGAGTGGGACAAAATCCCTCTTGAGATGTGTGCAAACCTGGTGGCCAACTACAAGAAACGTCTGACCTCTGTGATTGCCAACAAGGGTTTTGCCACCAAGTACTAAGTCATGTTTTGCAGAGGGGTCAAATACTTATTTCCCTCATTAAAATGCAAATACATTTATAACATTTTTGACATGCATTTTTCAGGATTTTTTTGTTGTTATTCTGCTTCGGAGTAAGTAATCTGCAGCATCTATTCACCTAGAGCCTACCTCTTTGTTTCTGTTGAAAGGGGAGAATATGTCCTCAATGTTTTGACTGCAGCAGTGATGGATGCTATGATTCGTCCCTCTGTTGGTTGTCACATGGTATTGCTTTCACTGTTACAGGAATATCTGTGTGAAGGTGCTGTGGGGGTGCTGTACTGCACTTAGTCAATTCTAGCACAAGGTGGCAACATCAAGCCTATACTCACTTCAACATACAATGATTAACCTTTGTTTTGTTTGACTATTCTTGGGACACTCTGTTACCAGGCTATATGTGCCTCTGACAGTTTCCTGTCTAAGGCTCTGAGGAAGGCTCTGAGGAAGGTGTCTGACATGTCTGAATGTAAGCCGGTTTGTTTGTCCCGTAAATAAACCTCAAAGATCATTGCAGACATCTGTGTTCCTTTTTCTTTTTCTGGGATATTCACCATGTGAAGTGTCCTGGGCTAAGATGTTGTTATGGATTCCTGAGTTCCTCAGTTGAGGACCTTTGTCCCTTTTTATTTAAATTGGGTTAAAGTGTATCTGGGTGTCTCAGTTGTCTCGTTTCATCTTTCTCAGGTGACCTAAGGAAACAATAATGTGGCTCTGGGCGCTGCTTCCAATCTGCTTGGCGGTGTTTGGCACTGTGGGAATATGGGTGGTGTGAGTATCTAACAGACTGGTCTGCTCTCCAGCTACTTGTCTGGATAGAATAACAGTGTGGTCTTATGCTACGGTACAATGAGATGGTGTTGATGATAAGAAAGTTATTATCAGTGCAAATAACAAACAGAACATGTATGTCATGAGAGCAAGAAAAATATCACTGAAGTATTGATATACTAACGACAGTTCTTCCCAGGTTTGGTATCGCTGTTTCAAATGTGTTAATATCACAGCGAGATTCCCCTACATCAGGTAAGAGTGACGCTGGTCTTTACAACACTGTAAAGGGTTTACCCTGAATTTCACTGTGTATTTGGACTATGTCAATAGAGGCACTACCACAGACCAGTTAAAGTGGTATAACCACTAACAAAACGGGAAATGTTAATGAGCCCACAACACCACAATACCATGCACACACTGGTGGCTTTTTGTTTTGAAGTCAATATTTCATTACCAAGTCATTTCCAGTATGTAAAGAATTAAAATGTGAATATGTCTTCCAGTGAATGTGGCACCTATGATCCACAGAGCCTGTCAGACACAGTGTGAAACAGTCAATCTTCACCTTCAGCTCGATAGCCTGGCTAAATGGACTGACAAAACAGAGCCTGAAGAAACTGCAGCGTTCTCCTTGGCAGGCAGCCAATCTGTCTGTGCTGATGTAACGGCGGAGGACCGGGTGTCTATTCAGGAGGGTGCAACGTTAAAGGACGTTCAGACAGAAATGTGTTATGTAGAACAGCTAAACGTTCAAAAGGAGTACTTTTCTGCAAACTATTTATGACCAGCTGTTAAGTCATAAAACTGGCCCCCAGGAAAGGGGGTGTTCAAACCTTTGCCTAGCAGGAATGTTTGATCCTCAACCCATGAGGGCAAGTCATGACAACAGCCACCCCCTGCACACAGCACTCACCTAGAGCAAATCAGGAAGGGGTGAGTTTCCCAAATATATTCTTTATGTTTTTAGGAAACACACACCCAAGGCTGCTTGTCCTAAAGGCTTGGACACATAGTGCTATATGCCTATTTAATCAGAAACACTCACAATAGTACTGAAAACAGATTTGGTACAATATATATTAACAATATGGACTTTTGCACTGCACTTTAATTGTTTAAATGTTTGTAAAAAGAAATCTGATGTAACTGGTGTTTCAAAATGTTTCGAAATTATGTTTTAAATATGTTTGCACTGGGAGAACAAGATACTGATGGAAGGCTCGATATTCTCTGTACACTATGTTTAAAGTTACATTTTATTAAACATGAACAACATTAAAAACACTTGCGTAAACCCTCATGACTTACAAAAAAAAATACTTTGTTCAAGTATCCATTCCTGTATCACATCACATTAAAGTTTATTTGAATTTCCGTGGTAATAATCAGTGAATTCACATGTTCTTTAACATAATACTGTAGATATGTTTCCAGTGTTCATGTCTTGATGTACCATTTAAATGATGTCTGTTGGAACAAAAATAAAACAAAAGGGGAGAAAATCTTAGATCCACTTGACTGAGTAACAGTACAAGAAGACAATTAGATTCGTGATAAAACATTTTTTATAGAACTTTAAGACAATATATAAATTTTCTCAATACTTTCATAACATAATATTAAATAAGTAAATAAATAACAACAGTAATACAAAAGTTGTGTGTGTGTGTGTGTGTGTGTCTACTAATAAATGCTGGGTTGCAGTTGAGTTGCAGGCATTGGGTCACTTAATTGGGTTGATTTCTTTCAAAACTGCTGGGTTATTGAGATATGACCCAGCGGGTCAGCTCAGAAGACTGGAGTCATGGCTTTCAGATAGTTATTTTTGGCCACCCGTGAGAGTAAATGTCATTCCGGTTCATGTGTTCTGTTGTATTGTTATCACGTCAAGGTTAAACACTGACACGTTTGAAGCTTTAATGAGGCTTACACAAGTACCTATGGATTACATTAAGAAAAATACCCAGCTGCTGGGTCAACCCAATTGATGGTTAAATTAACACATCTTTGGGTAATCCATACAACCCAACATGTTGGGTTATTTACGCAACCCAACTAGCTGGGTAAAAATAACCCAGCGTGTGTGTGTGTCTTAAAATGCTAAGCTATGAACAGTGTATCAATGCATGGTCATTGTCATGGTCTCATTGGCTGTTCATCATTCTGATCACTCCGTTAGTGCTCTGTGTCTTCAGACCTTGTTTCTGCACGGTGAGCTGGTGGAAGTCGATGTGACGGAACTCGGACCCAAAGAGGCCAAAAAGGACAAAGAAGGACATGACCAAGGCCCACTCACAAATGGCCGCTCTAGATTTGTAGCCGGTATTATGGAGTATAGCCACTGGGGAGGGAAAGGCCAGTCAAGGAGCAACAACACAAGCAGATGACCTGTCAATGTCTAAACTATACAGTTTGTATACAGTCTCATTCCCAGCTAAGTGTAGTGTACCACTGTACTGCCCGTCTGGCCAGGGAATATACACTACAGTCATAGCCTCCATTGTTTTTGTGTCATATTTTCACTGGTATGGAAGTTTCTAGATTTTGCATAAACAATGTTTAGCATTCATCAACAGTGAGTAATAGATGCTTTATATCTTCCTACATGAAGAGACATTCTCTGAGAATAGAGAGCGCCCCAGCGTTATGGTCTGTAAGGATACTGGTGATGACCAGGACGGTGCAGATGCTACAGAAGGTAGCTCGAAGAGGTCCAACCCAGTGACGGTCTTTAAAGGGATGGGCTTTGTAGCAGAGCCACACCTGCAACCAGAAGTAGGCTAGGCCCACGAAGAAGGCCAAGAACGCTCCCAACAAGTGGATCCCCATCACTACAGATTGCTGAAAGAGAGGGAGGGAGGGATGGGAGAGAGGATGGAACGAAGGAGATATTGTCAGCAATTATCAGGGTATAACAATATGTCAACTTTCTATGTGTACATGCGAGGGGAGGAGGATATTTAAGCAATAAGGCCCGAGGAGGTGTGGTATATGGCCAATATACCACGGCTAAGGGCTGTTCTTAAGCACGACGCAACGTGGGGTTTGTGGCCAAACCCCTGAGGTGCCTTATTGCTATTATAAACTGGTTACCAACGTAATTAGAGCAGTAAAAATAAATGTTTTCTTGTACCCGTGGTATACGGTCTGATATACCATGGCCAATCAGCATTCAGGGCTCGAACCACCCAGTTTATAATAGGACTTGTATCATGATAATACAGAGATGTTATAACAGTATTGCGATAACTGCCTTTAACACAATAGTTTACGCTGAAGTGAGATTCTAAACGATACCTGGAAGTTTCCGATGATGGAGATGCCCACACAGGAGATGAAGCCCAGTACGATGCTGGCGATGTTCACCTTGCTGTTCTGACCATAGTCCCTGACCTGCTGAAAGCGGATCACTACAACCCACAGGGCTGACACATAGAGAGAGAAGGGGGTATTAAGTGTGTGTGTGTGTGTGTGCGTGCATGCGTGCATCTATTCACTTACCCAAGACAGCACAGACGTTGCAGATCTGAGCAAAGATGCAGCTCTGTGGATTATAGGTGCCACAAATTCACATTTCAATTCTCTACGACTAGAAACAAAGAACATCAGACGTAGGAACCTCAACATGTGTATTGGTTAATTTAACAATACACACCTTATTGTTTCCCATACTTTATGTAAAAAAATACATCTTAGTTTTTGCTTCAAATCATCCTAAAGCTGCACCATCGAGCGTGTCCTGACCGGTTGCATCTGGGCCTGTGCCTGTGTATGTCTGTGTGGGTGTGTGCATGTGTGCTAAGGTATGGAGAATCAGATCAGGTGGTCAGTCCAGTTCAAGTGTTCAGTAGTCTGATGGCTTGTGGATAGAAACGGTCTCTGAGCCTGTTGGTATCAGACCTTATGCTCTGATACCGTCTACTGTCCACGACCGCAAGGCCCTCCAGTGGGTGGTGAAGACCCATCCAGGACATCTACTCAAAACGGTGCCTTTGGAAGGCTATTACATCATCAAGGACCCCACACATGAGCTGTTCACTCCCTTACCGTCGGGAAGATGGTATCAGAGCATGAGGTCTGTTTTTTTTTTTACTTATTTCCCTCATTAAAATGCAAATCAATTTATAACATTTTTGACATGCATTTTTTTTTAAAAATTTGTTGTTATTCTGTCTCTCACTGTTCAAATAAACCTACCATTAAAATTATAGACTGATCATGTCTTTGTCAGTGGGCAAACGTACAAAATCAGCAGGGGATCAAATACTTTTTTCCCTCACTGTATATTTTATATTTAAGATTCTTCAAAGTAGCCACCCTTTGCCTTGATGACAGCTTTGCACACTCTTGGCATTCTCTCAACCAGCTTCACCTGGAATGCTTTTCCAACAGTCTTGAAGGAGTTCCCACATATGCTGAGCACTTGTTGGCTGCTTTTCCTTCCCTCTGCCGTCCGACTCATTCCAAACCATCTCAATTGGGTTGAGGTCGGAAGATTGTGGAGGCGAGGTCATCTGATGCAGCATTCCATCACTCTCCTTCTTGCTAAAATAGCCCTTACACAGCCTGGAGGTGTGTTGGGTCATTGTCCTGTTGAAAAAGAAATGATAGTCCTACTAAGCCCAAACCAGATGGGATGGCGTATCGCTGCAGAATGCTGTGGTAGCCATGCTGGTTAAGTGTGCCTTGAATTCCAAATAAATCACAGACAGTGTCACCTGAAAAGCAGCCCCACACCATAACACCTCTTCCTCCAAGCTTTACGGTGGGAACTACACATGCGGAGATCATCCGTTCACCCACACCGCATCTCACAAAGACACAGCGGTTGGAACCAAAAATCTCAAATTTGGACTCCAGACCAAAGGTCAAATGCCCAAGCAGGTTTCTTCTTATTACTGGTGTCCTTTAATAGTGGTTTCTTTGCAGCAATTCGATCATGAAGGCCTGATTCACACAGTCCCCTCTGAACAGCTGATGTTGAAATGTGTCTGTGACTTGAACTCTGTGAAGCATTTATTTGGGCTGCAATTTCTGAGGCTGGTAACTCTAATGAACTTATCCTCTGCAGCAGAGGTAACTCTGGGTCTTCCAGTTCTGTGGCGGTCCTCATAAGAGCCAGTTTCATCTGTTCCGTATTGACTGACCTTCATGTCTTAAAGTAATGATGGACTGTCATTTCTCTTTGCTTATTTTAGCTGTTCTTGCCATAATATAGACTCAGTCTTTTACCAAATAGGGCTATCTTCTGTATACCCCCATACCTTGCCACAACACAACTGATTGGCTCAAACGCATTAAGAAGGAAAGAAATTCCACAAATTAACTTTTAACAAGGCACACCTGTTACTTGAAATGCATTCCAGGTGACTACCTCATGAAGCTGGTTGAGAGAATGCCAAGCATGTGCAAAGTTGTCATCAAGGCAAAGGGTGGCTAATTAATATTAAAGTAATATAGTGTTGATTCCTCAATTATTAACTTTTCATTTTGATCCATGCCATTGGGAAACTGTATGGAGTACTGTGAGACATTGACAGTGTGACTCCTACCTGATGTAGGGGAATCTCTCTGTGATGTTAACAGTCTCATTCGATACAGCGATACCAAACCTGGCAAGAACAAAAACTAGTATTAGTTAGTATTGTAATACTTCAATTACAACATACATCTTCCAGACCAAACCATGTGGAGGATGACAGGGGCAATAATTTGATATTTGTTTTGTTTCTTGCACTCAGAGCACGTGTTGGATTTTTGTTACTTGTGCTGAAAGTAAACATTAACATGTTCTTCATCATCATCGTCATCATTGAGAGCACAGTATTCTTCTGCCTATTGATAATAAAGAAGTGGCTGAAGAGGAGAGCCCACATGGATGTCAGGTAAATACTTACACCACCCATATGCCCACAGTGCCAATCACAGCCAAGCAGATCGGAAGCAGTGCCCAGAGCCACATTATGGTCCACTTAGGTCACCTGAGAAAGACACAATTACTCCTGTGTAGTTGCTTTGAATGCCATGTAGTATCCTGACCCGAGTTTAAATACATGTGTATTTAATTATTTGTTATTAAATACTTTTTTTAGACTTTTTTTATTTATTTTTATTTTAAATAATGTGGCCAAAATCAACTACTTCTATTGGAAGTATTTGAATCTATTGTCAAATAATTTCATATAAAAAGTGTACTATTTGAAAATATTTTCAGATTTACAGTACCAGTCAAAAGTTTGGACACGCCTACTCATCCAAGGGTTTTTCTTTCGTTTTACTATTTTCTACATTGTAGAATAATAGTGAAGACATCAAATCTATGAAATAACACATATGGAATCATGTTGTAACCAAAAAAGTGTTAAACAAATCAACATTTTAGATTCTTCAAAGTAGCAAGCTTTGCACACTCTTGGCATTCTCTCAACCAGCTTTGAGGTAGTCACCTGGAACGCATTTCAATTAACAGGTGTGCCTTGTTCAAAGTTAATTTGTAGAATTTATTTCATTCTTAATGCATTTGAGCCAATCAGTTGTGTTGTGACAAGGTAGGGGTGGTATACAGAAGATAGCCCTATTTGGTATAAGACCAGGTCCATAATATGGCAAGAACAGCTCAAATAAGCAAAGAGAAACGACAGTCCATCATTACTTTAAGACATGGTCAGTCAATCCAGAAAATGTCAAGAACTTTGAAAGTTTCTTCAAGTGCAGTCGCAAAAACTATCAAGCGCTATGATGAAACTGGCTCTCATAAGGACCGCCACAGGAAAGGAAGACCCAGAGTTACCTCGGCTGCAGAGGAGAAGTTCTTTAGAGTTACCAGCCTCAGAAATTACAGCCCAAATAAATGCTTCAGTGTTCAAGTAACAGACACATCTCAACATCAACTGTTCAGAGGAGACTGTGTGAATCAGGCCTTCATGGTCGAATTGCTGCAAAGAAACCACTTCTAAAGGACACCTATAAGAAGAAGAGACTTTCTTGGGCCAAGAAACACGAGCAATGGACATTAGACCGGTGGAAATCTGTCCTTTGGTCTAATCAGTCCAAATTTGAGATTTTTGGTTCCAACCGCCATGTCTTTGTAAGATGCAGAGTAGGTGAATAGATATCTCTGCATGTGTGGTTCCCACCGTGAAGCATGGAGGAGGAGGTGTGATTGTGTGGGGGTTCTTTGCTGGTGACACTGTCAGTGATTTATTTAGAATTCAAGGCACACTTAACCAGCATGGCTACCACAGCATTCTGCAGCGATACGCCATCCCATCTGGTTAGCACTTAGTGGGAGTATCATTTGTTTTTCAACAGGACAATGACCCAACACACCTCCAGGCTGTGTACGGGCTATTTGACCAAGAAGGAGAGTGATGGAGTGCTGCATCAGATGACCTGGCCTCCACAATCACCCAACCTCAACCCAAATGAGGTGGTTTGGGATGAGTTGGACCGCAGAGTGAGGAAAAAGCAGCCAACAAGTGCTCAGCATATGTCAAAACTCCCTCAAGACTGTTGGAAAGGCATTCCAGGTGAAGCTGGTTGAGAGAATGCCAAGAGTGTGCAAAGCTGTCATCAAGGCAAAGGGTGGCTCCTTTGAAGAATCTAAAATATATTTTTATTTGTTAAAAACTTTTTTGGTTACTACATGATTCCATATGTGTTATTTCATATCTTTGATGACTTCACCATTATTCTACAATGTAGAAAACAGAAAAAATTAAGAAAACCCCTTGAATGAGTAGGTGTTTCCAAACTTTTGACTGGTACTGTATTTCCAAATGTATTATTTCAAATACTCCTAGGACCTGGGTTCAAATGTATTTGAGTATTTCAAATACATGCCAATACTTTCCAAGTCTATTTCCAAATACATTCCAATATTCAACTACTTGTATTTTAACATTAGTATCCGCTGATTATCTGTTCATACACACATATTATTATTATATATTATTATATTATCTTACAGGATCAAAGCTGATGGAAAATGTGAAGATATAGGCTACTCACTTGAGAGATCACTTTGAGTGATAGGAAGAGAATGGAAGTACAGAAAAATAACTAGTTTAACTAAGCTCTAAGACCCTGCTCTTCCAGCCTGTTAATACCTCATCAAATGACACCTTGAAAAATAGTTACTAAAAAGGATGGTGAGAGGAAAACTAGATACAGAAAGAGCAATAATGACAGACACACATTTTAGTTTTAATGTCACATGCACAAGTACAGTGAAATGCCTTTCCTGCAAGCTCTAAGACCAGATGTCATAGTAACCTATAAGAGAATAATATTTAACTGTCAGAGAAAGATAATTTTGATAAAAAGTGGTTTAAACTCACAGAGGTTTTCTTAGATGTACAGTTGGGAGGCAAAGCTGAAACAAGCGCTTGACTTTTTCTCCTCTAACTCAATTCGAAATGCCTCTCCCCCCTTGGCCTTCACTGTCAATATACCGTAATAACACCAGTAGAACGTTATTCCCTCACTCGCTTGACCAGAGAGAAGGTTGTATGGTACAGTTATTACATTGGGTTAGGGCCGGATTAAGAAATATAACGCCCCAGGCCTTAGATATTTTATATTTTTATTATAATAATAATGATGGTGATGAAGATTGTTATGAGGATGATGACAGTATTGATTGAGGTGTGAAGATGTGACCTGACAGTGATTGTGATTTTGACGACGACAGTGTTATGATTTGCCACATATCACCATGAATAAAAGGTTAAGGACATAGCGCATGTCTGAGCATCGGATCATGCCCATGTGAGTGGAACTGGGGAATTTGGGCTTAGAAAAAAATAAGTGACTTTCCTTTGTAATACTGTACTTGATGGGAGTTTTTCTGTTCATGTGTGTTAAGTGTATATCTGTAGATTAAATAAACATTGTGGAGGATATGGTAAAGGTGCCCGAGAAAGAGCTCAGGGCCCATCTACAGTGTCTGACTGACACTTCTCCCTCCACTACCACTGCCTTTCTGAACTGCCTCAACATCCTGTCAGCTGTGGAACACAATCACTTGCCACTGCCAGAAACCTAAATGTATTATTATTTTGAAAGGGTCTTTGAAATTATCTTTGTAATGAAAAGCGCTATATAAAATAAATCTATTATTATTTTTTAGATTGTGTAACTATTCTACTTAGAAGCATCAATTTTTTTTTAGGTGCATTTTTGAAGGGGTTTGCTATGCAAGACATTACGGTAACAGTGTGGCCAACAATTTTTAGATTTACAACTACTTGCTTGCACTAGTTCCTCCCAGTAACATACTGCACAAACTGTGGGCTTCCTCTGCACGCCTCACTCTCACATTACCCTATTCTTTCAATTTCAGGTACCTATTTTCTAAATATAAACTGTCATAAATCATATTGTACATCCACAAACAGTGAAATGAAAAGTATATCAAACAACAGAGAAGGACTTGATACACTCTTTCTCTCTAGACTGAAAGCTGTAACAGGGCGTCTACTGTTGAGCATTAGATAAGTCATAAACACAAAGCAATAAATGAGTGTAATAATGGTTCCACTGCACCAATATTATCAGCTTGATATGATGTCGCTCTTGGTAATAAAGACTGGTGGGACACAAGACCTTTGTCCTCAACCATTTGAAGAGGAAGCTGGGTCCTTTAGTCTCCAGAGGTTTACTGTGCCTCAAATAGGTAACAAGGTATATCATTAACAACCATGTTGATGTTTTACTTAGTGAATCATACATTAATTCAGGAAAACATAGACGTAGGCCCTGAAATATTTCTGAGGTTTCATATGTATACGTTCTAACCCTGCTAGTTTAGCATTACATCATTACAAACTCACCGACTTTTGAATTGAGTGTATTTTTTTGTCTTACAGCACAGCGTGCAATATGTCTGTCACGATGAGGTTTATTTTAGTGTGTAACAGTATGTGTTCGTGTTCTAGTAAAAAGGCCACTCCTGACCTGCAAAACAATATAACAATTTCAGAATTGGTTTAAATTAGGTTCAGATTAAGATAAGGGTCAGTTTTAGATTTTGGTTAGTCGTTATACAGGTCAGGAGTGTCTCCGGTTTTAGAGCTCCAGCTCGATCTTGATGTCAATCTGGGCCTTGTAAGGTTCCAGCAGAGGGCGTACCTCCTCAGAGAGAAACCTCGCCACCTGAGAGAGAGAGAGAGAGAGAGAGAGAATGATGAGTTTGGGTGCGTCGACTACAGGTGCATGGAGAAAAACTGTATACTGTACTAAATACAAAAGAGCACACTAGTGATATTGATGCTCAACATATTGAATGGATCTTTTTGCCACCATTAAATCTGTATCAAGACCCCCAGTGTGCTGGAGATCCTTTTATATTTAACTACAGGTCTTTTAAAATGATATTACAATACTCTGAGGCCAAGTTGTGAAAAACAAAGATAACGGGTACTGGGGTGTTCTGTATAGTACCTGTTGGGGGGCGCGGCCGATGAAGGTCTTGGGGTCCAAGATGTTGTCTAGATGGCCCAGGATAGGGGCGAAGTAGGGGTCAGCCTGGACCCTGGCCAAGAGGTCATTGTCCCCCCCCTCCTGTTTCACCACGGTTGCAGCCTGCTGGGACAACACACGGATCTTCTCATGGCAGTCCTAGAGCAAGAACAAGAGAAACTGTTACTGTGTGATTACACAATAATACACTGAACAAAAATATAAAACGCAACAATTTCAAAGATTTTGACTGGGAATATAGATATGAATCTGTTGGTCACAGAAATATATTTTTTAAAGAATGTAGTGGAGTGGATCAGAAAACCAGTCAGTATCTGGTGTGACCACCATTTGCTTCATGCAGCGGACACATCTCCTTCGCATAGAGTTGATCAGGCTGTTGATTGTGGCCATGGAATTTTGTTCCACTCCTCTTCAATGGCTGTACAAAGTTGCTGGATATTGGCGGGAACTGGATATTGGTGACATGTCTGGTGAGTATGCAGGCCATGGAAGAACTGGAACATTTTCAGCTTCCAGGAATTGTGTACAGATCCTTGCGACATGGGGCCGTGCATTATCATGCTGAAACATGAGGTGATGGCGGCGGATGAACGGCACGACAATGGGACTCAGGATCTCATCACGGTATTTCTGTGCATTAAAATTGCCATAGATAAAATGCAGTTGTGTTTGTTGTCCGTAGCTTATGCCTGCCCATACCATAACCCCACTGCCACCATGGGGCACTCTGTTCACAATGTTGACATCAGCAAAACGCTCCCCAACACGCCATCTCCCCGGTAAAGTTGAAACCGGGATTAATCCATGAAGAGCGCACTTCTCCAGCATGCCAGTGGCCATCGAAGGTGAGCATTTGCCCACTGAAGTCAGTTACGATCCCCTACTGCAGTCAGGTCAAGACCCTGGTGAGGACGACGAGCACGCAGATGAGCTTCCCTGAGACGGTTTTTGACAGTTTGTGCAGAAATTCTTCGGTTGTGCAAACACACAGTTTCATCAGCAGTCCGGGTGGCTGGTCTCAGACGATCCCGCAGGTGAAGAAGCCGGATGTTGAGGTCCTGGGCTGGCGTGGTTACACATGGTCATCGGTTGTGAGGCCAGTGGGACATACTGCCAAATTCTCTAAAATGACGTCGGATGCGGCTTATGGTAGAGAAATTAACATTAAACTCTCTGGCAACAGCTCTGGTGGACAATCAGTGGCCTAGCATCCTGTACACCCCCCTAGATGTTTGTTCCCGTTTTCCAAACGTTAATGCGCATGTGCTACGCCAAAAACCTGTTACTAATATTTACACTTTTACTCAATACAACACATATTGAATTAACTTCACACTGTTCACTGTATAATAGAATACTGCATAGAATGGCTGATTTGCTCATATTTGCAAAGGCCTACCTGTGATTTGTCTGGAGGAATGGGAAGAATTAAGGAATATACATGCATAATGATCTGCATGTCATTGTGGCAGTAAGGGGAAAACACTGCATGAAACATTTACTCTTCAGTTAACACAGACACACACTCTCCCTCCCTCCATCGGCCTCTCTCTCGCTCTCTCTCTAACACACACACACACAGTTCCCAACTTAGGCACCAAACTAAAAGCGTTAGGCGCCAAACAGAATTTAAGGAGCACCAGAAAGATATATATTTTTGGTATAGTTTAGGCTTACATTAGGCCTATATTAATCCTACCTTTGAAGCACATCTCATGAGTAGCAGACCCTTTCTTCCTGCGCCAATCAAATTAGCCTAAACCTAGTGTCAAGTTACCAGGTTGTTAGCTAGCTAGTTAACATGACATGACTGAACAACGTTGTTTGTTATCAACCCAATAATTAGCAACCCGGGATTAGTTTAAAACGGAACGCAACATGGTTTGTGAAATGATAAAAAAATGGCAGCTCCAGTAATATGGGTCATATTTTATTAACCATTTAGGCTAGAGACGAGGCATTTTCTTTGCTGTAAAGCTGCAAGCATGCCTGTCTCGAAACTGTGCTTCATTGTTCCTCGATGTCACTCAGAGGTTGCGTGACAGCGAACTTGCAACTGAAAAGCCTACTCAGACTGGCCTGTGCTCTTGGTTATTCCAGGCGATGTAATTACACAATGTATCAACTATTTTTTCAAATTAAATATTTTTTTAAAGACGGAGGAATAGATGTGCTACACTCAAGTGAAGCTAGGAAAAAGTGTAAAGGAAATATATAATCCAGGACTAATTATGCAACGTGGAGTCTGAGAAAAATATGTTCTGTTCTAATAAGTGATGTGTCATGCTGTACTAGAAGGGTAAGTACCTGTCTGTTGCCTCCAGCCTTCACCATAGCCATGATTATGTTCTCTGTAGCCATGAAGGGAAGCTCATGACGGATGTGTCTCTCTATCACCTTAGAGAAAGAGCGAGAGATGAACATTATAATGATGAGAAAGGGATACATAACATTAGGGGTGTAAAGGTTCACCAAACCCAGGGTTTGGTACATATTGCGGTTTTGGGGATCACGGTTCAGTTTCGGTACAGCAGGAAAATTAAATGCCAACAGTTACTGTAGTTAATTTTAGTTTTGGAAAAATATGTCAAACTAACCTAGGAATAGATCATGATATGATCCATATAATGTAGGGCCCAATAAAATGGGTTTATTTTTTTGGCTAATTCCGTTTTTCCAGGTTTCTGATTGTCCCCCGTTTTCCACTGTCAAAATCACTTTCATAGAAAAAACAACATTGAAGGTTCAAAGCCCACAACAATGCTTAAACCACATCAAACATAATTTTTTTAGGTCTAGCAAAAATCTAAGACATTTTCATTTTTGGGTGTATCATTCTGCCAGGTATACATATATTACTTTGTAGTTAACATTTCATTGAGAAGGTTTTTGGGAAAGCCTTTCCATCTACCAGAAGACTGTTGTCATTAGCATCATTGTTTACGGCTATACACAGAAAGGGGCGTTCCCGCGCCGTTGCCTCTTCAGAAAGTTAAAGGAAAATAGGAATTACATTTTATTCATGTCTTATCATCATCTTGGGCAAATTAATGTTCTAATAAATGTAATACATTTAGTTGATTTCCTCTTAAGTTCAATACATTTTTGCTTCTACTGGGAAGCCAAAATGTTCCCAAACTGGAGATTGAAATGATGATGAAGGACCCTCCAATTCTGTCTCAGGTTCATAGTGCTGACGAAACCGAGGTCCCCGTACCGAGCGGTTCGGGTATGAATACGTATACCGTTACACCCCTACATAACATACAAGACAGTGTGAGTTGAATGTTGTTCCTCTGTGATGTGTCATTGCCAACAGACGTACTGTGGGAAAGTGTAGTTGAGTGTGCATTACTCATGAAATGACAAGGACTGTGTTGGTGATAATACCTTATGAGGACAACAATGGAAATAAGCCTCTGGTGTTGTTTTTTTTAATCCTCAATCATTTCTGGCTGGAAAAGCCTACTACTCTATGAATCTACCTTGGGGTAGACCACCAGGCCTTCAGTGATGTTCTGCAGGGTGCTGAGGATGATGTCAGCGGTAAGGAAAGACTCAGGGAGAGAGATTCTCCTGTTGGCACTGTCGTCCAGTGTTCTTTCCAACCACTGGACCGAGGCGGTCTGGAGGGGGTCAGCGAGCAGCGCTATCAGGTGGCGGGCCAGACTACAGCAACGCTCACAACGCATCGGGTTCCTCTTGTAGGGCATGGCACTGGAGCCTGGTGGGGGAGAGACAGTCAGTGGGACCCAGACAAGTAACAATGGGTTGGCATTTAGGAAATAACTGAAACTAGCTGTTTACTCTGAGCCATCAGGATGGTTTACTGGTTGGTGCCTTAATCAAAGTGAAATCTAGGGCTGAAACTCAATTGTTTTTATTGATTCCTCACATCCTTCCTCCACAGCTCCTTCTCGAAGCACAGTGGAGCAGAAGATCAGAGGGAAAAGATCTTCTGATATTTTGCTCCAATCCGCTTCAAGAAAGAGGCAAGGAGAGAGGACGCAAGGAATCAAGGAAATACAATTGAGATTCACCTTAGCTTTGGGATTAGATTCCCCTGTACCTGGGTAGGAAGTGGACCAATTTCCTTCTTACGACTCACCGATCTGCTCCTTTTCAAAAGGCTCCTCAATCTCTTTAAGGTTAGCCAGCAGGCGGATGTCAGTGCAGATCTGAGGAAGAGAGTACAATTTATTACCTGTGGGTCATTCCACTACTGTCAAAGACCACCAGGAGGCATTGTTTCTCCGTAGACAGACGTGTGATTTATGGCTGTAAGGATGACAAATTGATTTCCCCTAAAGTAAAATCTAATCTCAACCTTGTGGATGGTGGCTCCCATGCTGGCCAGGTGAGAGAGGGAGTCGATGTCCACCTTACGACTGTACGTCTGTCCGGTCACCATGTAGGCCCTGGGAGGAAAAATTAACAGGATTTAAGAAAATGAACCTAAAAAAGGGATTTGAGGGATTTGTTTTTACTTGGCTCAAATGACAAAACTTGTGGTAAATAGGAAACTCAAGAGACTGTTGACATACAATTATAAATTGAACTGACTTTTTGAAGCCTGCCATCTCGGTGACCATTCTGTCCAGATCCTCCACCTTATCATGGTCCCCCTGGAAGAGCTGCAGGAAGCTGGCCTGGGTGCCCGTAGTACCCTTCACCCCACGGAAACGCAGGTCTTCGCGGCCGCGTTGAAGGTTCCGCATGTCCATGACAAGGTCCTGGAGCCACAGACATGCTCTCTTACCCACTGTGGTCAACTGGGCCGGCCTGGTATAGATAGATAGAGAGAGAGAGGTGGATGAGAAAAATATAAAATATAAAAAGGTGAGAGAAGGAGAAGAAAAGTTAAAATAAAATACTAAAATGTGGAGGGGAGAAATAAAGATTCTAATAAAAATTAAACTGAAAGATGAAGACTGAGAAATATAAGGCAGAGGGATTAAAGTGGAGTCAGAAGCACTGAATATATCACTCTTTAATCCGAGAGGAACACGAGTGTTCATAGACAAATGGGATATATCCACAATGGGGGAGGGGGGGTCAGGCTCACTTGGGCTGACAATGTCTCAGTGATTTCCTTGAAGGTCTATGTCCCTAGAGTTGGAAATGTGTCAGTATACAACAATGTCAGTATACAACAAGTTATATGCTCACGTAAACCCTTTATTCATATATCATTGGAAAGCTTTGATTCACAGATACCAATCAGACAAAAAAAAATAATAATCTGATCAATATAACCTCTTGGGCGCATATCATAATTACCTGTATACATTTTTTTTTAAAGGAAACCCTGATACATTTTAATATTTGTTTGACAAGTGGTTCTGAAAGGTCATTACCAATAGTTAATAGGATAACATTGTATATAATTTTAATCAGCTCACATCCATGACTATTCACTTGAACATATCCATTTTACATGTTTGAAGATAAAATATTACAATTATTGATCATGACATCTTCAGAAATCAGCGATTCAGAAATCTTTTTGGGCACATTCTAACCACAATTCTGTGAATATTCTTTTTATCTGCACACTTTGCTCATTTGGTTGTGTATTCTACATCACTATGAACATTTAAAGATATTATTGGGCATGCTCCAATTATATTTCATAGACGTATGATCATGCGAAATTGATCCAATAAGACCCTATTGAGTTGTTTGGCGGCCATATTGGAAAAAGGCTTCTGTGGGGTTAATACGTGAATCCTGTGATAGCTCTGTATCCACAAATCTTTTTAAAAGCCTGCTCTAGCTGTGTGTGTGAAACGTGGTGCTTCCATCACCAAAGTTACAATTCAAAAACATATCTGCCCCACTACATGGAATTCTATGGCTAAGCTTCCAACATTCTAATGGCACAATATGGCCTCGTTTTAAACAATAGCTGTAGCTGGTGCTTTCAAAGTTGGTTATATTATAAATCATTTGAAAGTTAAATTCATGACCTTTCAGAACCACTTGTCAAACAAAGATTAGAATGTGTCAGTGTTTCTTTTTTAAGCGATTTATACAGGTAATTCTTAAAATGTACCCTAGGAGGTCAAAGGTCAAGGTTCTATTGACCTGAACATTCCAAAAATATGTCTGATGGATAGCTGTGAAACTAAGATTTCCAATGATATATGATTAAAGGCTATACGTGAGCAATAACTTGTTCTACACTGACATTGTTTGTCATAGGGTAAAATCCCTATGGGACAAATGCAGGGGATGGAATAAAGAGTGAGAAAGCTACCATTGCTGCACTGCTATCACATTTTCCAACTCTAGGGACATAGACCTTGAAGAAAATCACTATGAGACATCGTCCTCAAAAGTGAGCCCGAGGGGCCAAATTTGAAGGTCACGCTCATGGACTAATATAGAAGTTAGTACCTCCTGAGGCGTTCATACTTACTGGTAATGTGTGAAACCCAGGGTTGGGAGACCAGCATATTTTTCAGCAAAGTTTGATAGTCTGTCGATCACTCTGGCCAACTACAGAGACAGAAAATTGTTTTTAGATTACGGAAGTGATGAGTGATATACAGTCGTGGTCAAAAGTTTTGAGAATGACACAAATATAAATTTTCACAAAGTCTGCTGCCTCAGTTTATATGATGGAAATTTGCATATACTCCAGAATGTTATGAAGAGTGATCAGATGAATTGCAAAGTCCCTCTTTGCCACAAAAGGACCAGCTGACATCATGTCAGTGATTCTCTCGTTAACACAGGTGAAAGAGTGTTGACGAAGACAAGGCTGGAGATCACTCGGTCATGCTAATTGAGTTAGAATAACAGACTGGAAGCTTTAAAAGGAGGGTGGTGCTTGAAATCATTGTTCTTCCTCTGTTAACCATGGTTACCTGCAAGGAAACACGTGGCGTCATCATTGCTTTGCACAAAAAGGGCTTCACAGGCAAGGATATTGCTGCTAGTAAGATTGCACCTAAATCAACCATTTATCAGATCATCAAGAACTTCAAAGAGAGGTTCAATTGTTGTGAAGAAGGCTTCAGGGCGCCCAAGAAAGTCCAGCAAGCGCCAGGACCGTCTCCTAAAGTTGATTCAGCTGTGGGATCGGGGCACCACCAGCGCAGAGCTTGCTCAGGAATGGCATTAGGCAGGTGTGAGTGCATCTGCAAGCACAGTGAGGCGAATACTTTTGGAGGATGGCCTGGTGTCAAGAAGGGCAGCGAGGAAGCCACCGCTCTCCAGGAAAAAAATCAGGGACAGACTGATATTCTGCAAAAGGTACAGGGATTGGACTGCTGAGGACTGGGGTAAAGTCATTTTCTCTGGTGAATCCCCTTTCCGATTGTTTGGGGCATCCGGAAAAAAGCTTGTCCGGAGAAGATAAGGTGAGCGCTACCATCAGTCCTGTGTCATGCCAACAGTAAAGCGTCCTGAGACCATTCATGTGTGGGGTTGCTTCTCAGCCAAGGGAGTGGGCTCCCTCACAATTTTGCCTAAGAACACAGCCATGAATAAAGAATGGTACCAACACATCCTCCGAGAGCAACTTCTCCCAACCATCCAAGAACAGTTTGGTGAAGAACAATGCCTTTTCCAGCATTGCCATAAGGCAAAAGTGATAACTTTTGGGGAACAAAACATCGACATTTTTGGGTCCATGGCCAGGAAACTCCCCAGACCTTAATCCCATTGAGAACATGTAGGCAATCTTTAAGAGGCGGGTGGACAAACAAAAACCCACAAATTCTGACAAACTCCAAGCATTGATTATGCAAGAATGGGCTGCCATCAGTCAGGATGTGGCCCAGAAGTTAATTGACAGCATGCCAGGGCGGATTGCAGAGGTCTTGAAAAAGAAGGGTCAACACTGCAAATATTGACTCTTTGCATGAACTTAATGTAATTGTCAATAAAAGCCTTTGACACTTATGGAATGCTTGTAATTATACTTCAGTATACCATAGTAACATCTGACAAAAATATCTAAAAACACTGAAGCAGCAAACTTTGTGAAGACCAATACTTGTGTCATTCTCAAAACTTTTGACCACGACTGTACAGTATCATACTTGGTTGACTTTCTCAGACATTTTCAACACAAAGACGCACATAACTTTACAGTATAATATCAGTATCTAGTGCTGCCCTAGGGGTAGTAGTACTAATCCTCCCTGGTCTCTAACCACTAACTTACCTTCGGCAGGAGAATGTCAAAACCGTCACGAAGCACGATCAAATCCTGAGAGGAAAAACAGCAGGCATATCAGTCATTATGCATAATAATCTCAAAGATGTACACTGCTCAAAAAAATTAAGGGAACACTAAAATAACACATCCTAGATCTGAATTAATTAAATAATCTTATTAAGTACTTTTTTCTTTACATAGTTGAATGTGCTGACAACACAATCACACAAAAATGATCAATGGAAATCAAATTTATCAACCCATGGAGGTCTGGATTTGGAGTCACCCTCAAAATTAAAGTGGAAAACCACACTACAGGCTGATCCAACTGATGTAATGTCCTTAAAACAAGTCAAAATGAGGCTCAGTAGTGTGTGTGGCCTCCACGTGCCTGTATGACCTCCCTACAATGCTTGGGCATGCTCCTGATGAGGTGGCGGATGGTCTCCTGAGGGATCTCCTCCCAGACCTGGACTAAAGCATCCGCCAACTCCTGGACAGTCTGTGGTGCAACGTGGCGTTGGTGGATGGAGAGAGACATGATGTCCCAGATGTGCTCAATTGGATTCAGGTCTGGGGAACGGGCGGGCCAGTCCATAGCATCAATGCCTTCCTCTTGCAGGAACTGCTGACACACTCCAGTCTCATGAGGTCTAGCATTGTCTTGCATTAGGAGGAACCCAGGGCCAACCGCAGCAGCATATGGTCTCACAAGGGGTCTGAGGATCTCATCTCGGTACCTAATGGCAGTCAGGCTACCTGTGGCGAGCAAATGACTGACCCACCGCCAAACCGGTCATGCTGGAGGATGTTGCAGGCAGCAGAACGTTCTCCACGGCATCTCCAGACTCTGTCACGTCTATCACATGTGCTCAGTGTGAACCTGCTTTCATCTGTGAAGAGCACAGGGCGCCAGTGGCGAATTTGCCAATCTTGGTGTTCTCTGGCAAATGCCAAACGTCCTGCACGGTGTTGGGCTGTAAGCACAACCCCCACCTGTGGACGTCGGGCCCACACACCACCCTCATGGAGTCTGTTTCTGACTGTTTGAGCAGACACATGAGCTGGAGGTCATTTTGCAGGGCTCTGGCAGTGCTCCTCCTGCTCCTCCTTGCACAAAGGCCCTCCTACAGCCTCCTCCACGTCTCCTGATGTACTGGCCTGTCTCCTGGTAGCACCTCCATGCTCTGGACACTACGCTGACAGACACAGCAAACCTTCTTGCCACAGCTCGCATTGATGTGCCATCCTGGATGAGCTGCACTACCTGAGCCACTTGTGTGGGTTGTAGACTCCGTCTCATGCTACCACTAGAGTGAAAGCACCGCCAGCATTCAAAAGTGACCAAAACATCAGCCAGGAAGCATAGGAACTGAGAAGTGGTCTGTGGTCACCACCTTCAAAACCACTCCTTTATTGGGGGTGTCTTGCTAATTGCCTATAATTTCCACCTGTTGTCTATTCCATTTGCACAACAGCATGTGACATTTATTGTCAATCAGTGTTGCTTCCTAAGTGGACAGTTTGATTTCACAGAAGTGTGATTGACTTGGAGTTACATTGTGTTGTTTAAGTGTTCCCTTTATTTTTTTGAGCAGTGTATATATACACCCATGAGAAACAAACGTGACCATTCAGCACACTCATCCTAAAATAACATGGTCCTTTGGGTCTAAAAGTAACTGTCTGCAGTCTGTTGCATGTAGGATACATGTCCCAATCCAAAATGAACCTCCAAGGCAATTGCCCTTGTGGAGATCTAAGAGGATTTGATTGGTATAAGCAATATGGTCAAACTTTCACCTAGCCTACTAGGTAACAATGCCTACACCTCTCAAACCATCTCAGGTCTAGAGGTCTATTTGGGACTGGGCCTCTCTTACTGTGTTGTCTCCCACGTAACAGGAAGTGGCGCCCAGGTGGATGATGGGAGCAGCGGTGGGGCAGCAGTGGGCGAAGGTGTGCACGTGGGCCATGACGTCGTGCCTCAGCTTTTTCTCCTCCTCTGCCGCCATGGCAAAGTCGATGTCCTCAGCGTGGCTCTCCATCTCTGCCACCTGGGCTTCGGTGACGGGCAGGCCAAGAGCCTTGGAGAAGGGAGGACAAGAGGAGGAGAGACAGTTAAAGCTGGTACCCTAGGGGCGTAGTGAAAGCAGTACAGCCTGTCATTGGAGGTTTTTTAGCTGCTACACTGGAAGCATATCCCAGAGTAAGCGCTAGCTACTTTATCAAGTCTTCTCTGGCTTTTATTAAGCTGAAACATTGTTGCAACATTGCAGTTTGTAGTACAGTGGGGAAAAAATGTATTTAGTCAGCCACCAATTGTGCAAGTTCTCCCACTTAAAAAGATGAGAGAGGCCTGTCATTTTCATCATAGGTACACGTCAACTATGACAGACAAATTGAGGAAAAAAAATCCAGAAAATCACATTGTAGGATTTTTAATGAATTTATTTGCAAATTATGGTGGAAAATAAGTATTTGGTCACCTACAAACAAGCAAGATTTCTGGCTCTCACAGACCTGTAACTTCTTCTTTAAGAGTTTTCTCTGTCCTCCACTCGTTACCTGTATTAATGGCACCTGTTTGAACTTGTTATCAGTATAAAAGACACCTGTCCACAACCTCAAACAGTCACACTCCAAACTCCACTATGGCCAAGACCAAAGAGCTGTCAAAGGACACCAGAAACAAAATTGTAGACCTGCACCAGGCTGGGAAGACTGAATCTGCAATAGGTAAGCAGCTTGGTTTGAAGAAATCAACTGTGGGAGCAATTATTAGGAAATGGAAGACATACAAGACCACTTATAATCTCCCTCGATCTGGGGCTCCACGCAAGATCTCACCCCGTGGGGTCAAAATGATCCCAAGAACGGTGAGCAAAAATCCCAGAACCACATGGGGGGACCTAGTGAATGACCTGCAGAGAGCTGAGACCAAAGTAACAAAGCCTACCATCAGTAACACACTACGCCGCCAGGGACTCAAATCCTGCAGTGCAGACGTGACCCCCTGCTTAAGCCAGTACATGTCCAGGCCCGTCTGAAGTTTGCTAGAGTGCATTTGGATGATCCAGAAGAGGATTGGGAGAATGTCATATGTCATATGGTCAGATGAAACCAAAATAGAACTTGTCGTGTTTGGAGGACAAAGAATGCTGAGTTGCATCCAAAGAACACCATACCTACTGTGAAGCATGGGGGTGGAAACATCATGCTTTGGGGCTGTTTTTCTGCAAAGGGACCAGGACGACTGATCCGTGTAAAGGAAAGAATGAATGGGGCCATGTATCATGTGATTTTGAGTGAAAACCTCCTTCCATCAGCAAGGGCATTGAAGATGAAACGTGGCTGGGTCTTTCAGCATGACAATGATCCCAAACACACCGCCCGGGCAACGAAGGAGTGGCTTCGTAAGAAGCATTTCAAGGTCCTGGAATGGCCTAGCCAGTCTCCAGATCTCAACCCCATAGAAAATCTTTGGAGGGAGTTGAAAGTCCGTGTTGCCCAGCGACAGCCCCAAAACATCACTGCTCTAGAGGAGATCTGCATGGAGGAATGGGCCAAAATACCAGCAACAGTGTGTGAAAACCTTGTGAAGACTTACAGAAAACGTTTGACCTGTGTCATTGCCAACAAAGGGTATGTAACAAGGTATTGAGAAACTTTTGTTATTGACCAAATACTTATTTTCCACCATAATTTGCAAATAAATTCATAAAAAATCCTACAATGTGATTTTCTGGATTTTTTTTCCTCATTTTGTCTGTCATAGTTGACGTGTACCTATGATGAAAATTATAGGCCTCTCTCATCTTTTTAAGTGGGAGAACTTGCACAATTGGTGGCTGACTAAATACTTTTTTTCCCCACTGTAGTTGCACATTGTAGGCTACTATGTAATACAAGTATGCCAATTGTGTCAATGGGATGTGAGGTGGAACTGTCCAGAAAGTGGGTCAACGTTTTCAGATCACTTTCAAACAGACAGCTAGAGGTGGTTGTTTTGCTCCATATCTCACACAGAAACTAGGAAAACTATTCCAGCACAATCTTTGTTATGGTAGCAGGTCTACTTTAAAACCATTGAAAAATCTAATGTGTTGTTCGAGTAGCAGAGGAGGTTGGCCTTGTGTTAATGAGAACAGGGAGCGACATTACTGGGCAGAAAGATACAGTCTCAACTCCCTCCCTTCCCCTTAGCCATAAGTAACACTTAAATGTTTTTTCCTTGGATCTGAATAGGTAGGCTATAAGCAGTGCAGTGGTGGAGTTTACAACTTACATATCTGAAAACATAGAAGGGGTTACTTAGGGCCAAGGAGAAGGACGGAGAGTGAAGAGAGTAGACGCTAACTCTCAGGGGGTGTCCTATTACCCTGACATTTTGGCCTGGCTATTTTTGACACAAACCCCACCCCAGCAGATTTCAACAGAGAGACATTGGAGCCAAACCTGCTCTGGGTGGAGCTACTAAAAGGCGCCATAGGCAGTATTTCTGTTACATGTATTTGAAATACGTATTTTAATTCCTTCAGAGTATTTTGTCATTTGAATTACACTGGGCTGAACTACAGTCCAATGTATTTTTGTATTTTCAAAATACTTTTCTATACCATTTTTGTGGCCCCACTTTCACCCTGCATTGGTATCAGAAGTCGGATAGCACTAAATATAGAAATTGCAACAATTGCAAAGCATGTTGAGTATTATTCTAATAGCTCTGCCCCAAAACAATACACTGTGTGCTGTGTAGTTCATTTTGGTATGTTCACTTTCCCATATCCATTTACATTTTGGTGATTTAGCAGACATGCTTACCAGAGTGACTTGCTCAACTAAGGTAGTTAAACAACAACATATCACAGTAAAAGTAAAACAGTTACTGAGAATGTTGTTGCTGTTCGGGCCGGCTACTTGCAAATATATTTGTCCAAGTATTTTGAAACATTGATCTTTATGGTATTTTGTATCTGTATTTTGTACTTTTTGCCCATAGGCTAGGCCCTGCCTATAACCTTACCTTTGTGTAGTCCATTTCCCTTCCACTAACAGATCAGATGAGCTGATGCATGTGACAGAGGGTCTGTCTGATAGTAACGTTAATTACACACACACACACACTCACTCACTCCCTGTAAATTAGAAGAGTGGTGGAAGTCATTTTTCTCTTTAAGCTAATCAAAAATAGCCTAGTGTTTTTCTCTTAAAGGTTTTTGCTGGACAACACTTATCTAGGTTTCACAGTCTGCAGGTTTGTTTATCATGTGGATTAGCTGGAAATCTATATCCAGTTTCCAAGTAGTTTAGCGCAACAGCAGTGGAATATTGGAATTTGCAGTGTGGTCACTGAACTAGCTGAAAGAGATTTGGAACCCTGTCATCAAGTTAAAGAGAGGCTAGATTCATTGACGATATGGGCATACATCTGAAGTACTGACTAGTGTAACTTACTTTACCAACCTTCCCAGTCATTTTCCTGACTTAGGCAACTGGGTACTGTTGATGAATAGCTACATGCATTGTTGTATCCCCAATCCACAACCTTGCAATGCATCAATTTTATTTTGTATTTTGTTTATTTTTTACTACACAGCTTATCACAAGACACTGCATCCTACTAGCTAGTTTGTTTGGTTTGCATCTTCTGTCTTGTAAGGCAAATACAGTATATTTTGATGATGTTTACTGTATGCTCCTCCTATAATTAGAGCAGGGAACTTGAGAAAACTCTCTCAAGGTCGCAAAGTTAAAATAGACTTCATTTTGCAGCAGAAAGTGCTAAATATATTTGGAAAACTATACCTAGATAGCTACAAAAACATAGACAAGGGCATGCATGCTCATTCATGATAACTTGCCAAGATTACAGCTAGCTGGCTAGCTAGCTAAATTGCTAATTATAGCTCACACCTTTTCAGCTTTGGCCAAGTAGATCCACAGTTTTCTCCATGTTGTGAATTTCTTCCTGTCACTGAAATTATAGGCCATTTCCTTGCTGGCATATCGTGACACCAGCGGCGAACGATACTTATTAAATTCGTCTCCAAATGTGTCCATGACTGAAACGTGTTGATAACAAGCCTAAGGCACAATGCAAGTTAAATTGGCACCCGTCAGCAACAAGAAAATAGTACTTCCGGGTCTTCTTCTTCTTTAAGTTTTTATTGTCGGGTCGCAACCAACTGTCAGGTGCATACATTGCCATCTACTGTACTGGAGTGTGAGGCCGGTTACGACTTAGCTATGGCACTATCTTCTCTTAACTAACCCTGAATTTCTAATAAAATAAAATAATTCCCTACAAACCTCACTACTCCCATCACCCCAACGGAAAATACCAACCAATCCCCATTCCCGTCCAACCTCTTTGACCCTATCAAACAACCTCTCCCTTTCTATGTCATACATTTCACAAAATAATAATACATGCTCAACCGTTTCCTCTACCATACATCCATTACACACTCCAGTACCATGTTTCCCTATCAATTTCAAAGAGGCCTTAAATCCTGTATGCCCTTATCTCATCCTACACAACATAACTTCCTCCCACTTCTATTCGCCATTACATGACACTATCTCCTGTACAGATTTCCTTGGACAGGTGTGACAAAACTGCACATTTTAGAGTGGCCTTTAATTGTTCCCAGCACAAGGTGCACTTGTGTAATGATCATGCTGTTTAATCAGCTTCTTAATATGCCACACCTGTCAGGTGGATGCATTATCTTGGCAAAGGAGAAATGCTCACTAACAGGGATGTAAACAAATATGAGCACACAATTTGAGAGAAATAAGCTTTTTGTGCGTATGGAACATTTCTGGGACCTTTAATTTCAGCTCATCAAACATGGGACCAACACTTTACATGTTGCATTCATATTTTTGTTCAGTGTAAAATAAACTTTTCCATTAGTTCACAGAGATTTGATGTAAGTGCAATATGTCTATAACTACCAAGATTGAATGGATCTTTACCAGGCTTCACAAAAAGCAACACCACAGCACATTTCCATCCTGATGGTAGCACTCCTGTCCTCCATATTTTGTTAAACAAACTCAAAATATTTCCCAAAACTTATGTAGCCAGATGTTTAAACATAATGTAGCATAATCGATCCTCACCTGCAGCAGTGTACGCACACCCCTCCAAAGCCCGTACTTCCAGGTCACGGAATTTCGGAACAAATATAAGTCCCCCGCGTAATAGTTAGAAAAGTGTCAATAACCTGTATTTATTCATTATATATTAAAATAATTGTCTGCAGTAAATGTATTGTAGGGAATACTCAGTAGGGTCTGTAGAATGTATACAGTGGGGAAAAAAAGTATTTAGTCAGCCACCAATTGTGCAAGTTCTCCCACTTAAAAAGATGAGAGGCCTGTAATTTTCATCATAGGTACACGTCATCTATGACAGACAAAATGAGAATTGTTTTTCCAGAAAATCACATTGTAGGATTTTTAATGAATTTATTCGCAAATTATGGTGGAAAATAAGTATTTGGTCAATAACAAAAGTTTCTCAATACTTTGTTATATACCCTTTGTTGGCAATGACACAGGTCAAACGTTTTCTGTAAGTCTTCACAAGGTTTTCACACACTGTTGCTGGTATTTTGGCCCATTCCTCCATGCAGATCTCCTCTAGAGCAGAGATGTTTTAGGGCTGTCGCTGGGCAACACGGACTTTCAATTCCCTCCAAAGATTTTCTATGGGGTTGAGATCTGGAGACTGGCTAGGCCACTCCAGGACCTTGAAATGCTTCTTACGAAGCCACTCCTTCGTTGCCCGGGCGGTGTGTTTGGGATCATTGTCATGCTGAAAGACCCAGCCACGTTTCATCTTCAATGCCCTTGCTGATGGAAGGAGGTTTTCACTCAAAATCTCACGATACATGGCCCCATTCATTCTTTCCTTTACACGGATCAGTCGTCCTGGTCCCTTTGCAGAAAAACAGCCCCAAAGCATGATGTTTCCACCCCCATGCTTCACAGTAGGTATGGTGTTCTTTGGATGCAACTCAGCATTCTTTGTCCTCCAAACACGACGAGTTGAGTTTTTACCAAAAAGTTCTATTTTGGTTTCATCTGACCATATGACATTCTCCCAATCCTCTTCTGGATCATCCAAATGCACTCTAGCAAACTTCAGACGGGCCTGGACATGTACTGGCTTAAGCAGGGGGACACGTCTGGCACTGCAGGATTTGAGTCCCTGGCGGCGTAGTGTGTTACTGATGGTAGGCTTTGTTACTTTGGTCCCAGCTCTCTGCAGGTCATTCACTAGGTCCCCCCGTGTGGTTCTGGGATTTTTGCTCACCGTTCTTGTGATCATTTTGACCCCATGGGGTGAGATCTTGCGTGGAGCCCCAGATCGAGGGAGATTATCAGTGGTCTTGTATGTCTTCCATTTCCTAATAATTGCTCCCACAGTTGATTTCTTCAAACCAAGCTGCTTACCTATTGCAGATTCAGTCTTCCCAGCCTGGTGCAGGTCTACAATTTTGTTTCTGGTGTCCTTTGACAGCTCTTTGGTCTTGGCCATAGTGGAGTTTGGAGTGTGACTGTTTGAGGTTGTGGACAGGTGTCTTTTATACTGATAACAAGTTCAAACAGGTGCCATTAATACAGGTAACGAGTGGAGGACAGAGGAGCCTCTTAAAGAAGAAGTTACAGGTCTGTGTGAGCCAGAAATCTTGTTTGTTTGTAGGTGACCAAATACTTATTTTCCACCATAATTTGCAAATAAATTCATAAAAAATTCTACAATGTGATTTTCTGGATTTTTTTCCCTCAATTTGTCTGTCATAGTTGACGTGTACCTATGATGAAAATTACAGGCCTCTCTCATCTTTTTAAGTGGGAGAACTTGCACAATTGGTGGCTGACTAAATACTTTTTTTCCCCACTGTAAATAAAGGTTAAATAAAAAATAAAAATAAATATAAAAAAATATTCCGGGTACAAAGAACGTGAAGGCAGACGCACTGTCTCGGCTGTATGATACAGAGGAGAGGCCCAGAGACAACACCCCCATACTCCCAGCCTCATTCATTGTGGCGCCTGTAGTATGGGCGATGGACGCGGATATAGCGCAGGCATTACGCACAGATCCATCTCCACCTCAGTGTCCAGCTGGGCTGCAGTACGTGCCTGCGCTTATCCATGATCGTTTGATCTACTGGGCACACACGTCACCCTCCTCTGGTCATCCAAGTATCGGCTGTCATCAAGGCAAAGAGTGGCTACTTTAATCTCAAATATAAAATATATGTTTAACTTTTTTAAGGAAAATAATGTACAGTACCAGTCAAAAGTTTGGACACACCTACTCATTCCAGGGTTTTTCTTCATTTTTACTATTTTCTACATTGTAGAATAATAGTGAAGACATCAAAACTATGAAATAACACATACGGAATCATGTAGTAACCAAAAAAGTGTTAAACAAATCTAAATATATTTGACAATTGAGATTCCTCAAATAGCCACCCTTTGTCTTGATTACAGCTTTGCACACTCTTGACATTCTCTCAACCAGCTTCACCTGGAATGCATTTCCAACAGTCTTGAAGGAGTTCCCACATATGCTGAGCACTTGTTGGCTGCTTTTCCTTCAATCTGCAGTCCGACTCATCCCAAACTATCTCAATTGGGTTGAGGTCGGGGGTTGTGGAGGCCAGGTCATCTGATGCAGCACTCCATCACTCTCCTTCTTGGTAAAATAGCCCTTACACAGCCTGGAGGTGTGTTGGTTCATTGTCCTGTTGAAAAACAAATGATAGTCCCACTAAGCCCAAACCAGATGGAATGGCGTATCGCTGCAGAACGCTGTGGTAGCCATGCTGGTTAAGTGTGCCTTGAATTTGAAATAAATCACTGACAGTGTCACCAGGAAAGCACCCCCACACCATAACACCTCCTCCTCAATGCTTTACGGTGGGAAATACACATGCAGAGATCATCCGTTCACCCACACCACGTCTAACAAAGCCACGGTGGGTGGAACCAAAAATCTCCAATTTGGACTCCAGACCAAAGAACAAATTTCCACCGGTAGAGGTAACTCTGGGTCTTCCATTCCTGTGGCGGTCCTCATGAGAGCCAGTTTCATATGTTCCGTATTGACTGACCTTCATGTCTTAAAGTAATGATGGACTGTTGTTTCTCTTTGCTTATTTGAGCTGTTCTTGCCATAATATGGACTTGGTCTTTTACCAAATAGGGCTATCTTCTGTATATCACCATTACCTTGTCACAACACAACTGATTGGCTCAAACGCATTAAGAAGGAAAGAAATTCCACAAATGAACTCTTAAAAAGGCACACCTGTTAGTTGAAATGCATTCCAGGTGACTACCTCATGAAGCTAGTTGAGAGAAAGCCAAGAGTGTGAAAAGCTGTCATCAAGGCAAAGGGTGGCTATTTGAAGAATCTCAAATAGAAAATATATTTTTGATTTGTAACACTCTTTTGGTTACTACATGATTCCATATGTGTTATTTCATAGTTTTGATGTCTTCACTATTATTCTACAATGTAAAAAAAAGTAATAATAAAGAAAAACCCTTGAATGAGTAGGTGTGTCCAAACTTTTGACTGGTACTGTATATATATATATAAATATATATATATATATATATATATATATATATATATATATATACACACACACACACACAGTGCATACGGAAAGTATTCAGACCCCTTGACTTTCTCCATATTTTGTTACATTACAGCCTTATTCTAAAATTGATTAAATTAATTTTTTCAATTTATATTAGCACCCCTACTTATCGCAGCTATGCATAGAGGGGTCATATTAGTGTGTAGCAACAGACAGAAGTTGGCACATTGGTGCTACCGACACCCCGCGATGTAGCCCTAACCATTCCGATGCTACAGACGTTTTCGTGAGAAGACACATTTTCCGGATGTCTCCTGACTCCAGGTCTGACCGCAGATATGGAAGGCCGCCATCGGCCAATACGCTGGATTGAGACGCAGCCCATGCAAAAAACATATCTCTAGCTTAAACAGACAGATTTTTATGGGGATTTTTTTATTACACTAATTAGATATCCGCGGGAGCGCGGACATCGACTCTACACATCTATTTACAAATCTCATATAGGTAGGCCCTATGCTATTTGCACAATTCAAATGTTACCAGGCTATATATCTGAATCATGGAAAAAACATAGATTTAACCTGCACTCTACCATGGGTCACATTTTACTATGGTAACGCTTAATTATGATAAATGATACCAAAAATGTATCTTTATTAATTGTGTGTTACCCTGGCACAATATCAGTATAATGCATTAAATAAATTAACCCACCAAGGTCAAAAGAGGTTGGTTGGTATTATATTGATGGATTTGTATACCATTATGGGCACGTTTCTGATAAAGTCAGAGGCATTAGGCTACTATTGTTGTTCCTGGTTTGTCTAACATCAAAGAAAAAGGGAAATAGTTGCTGTGAAAAAGGGGTAATACTTCCTCTATTAATTTTTTGCTCATGTTTGGGTTCCCTGTGTTGCCAACCAGAAATGTGGGAGTATGCGAGATATAGCTATGGTAGCCTAATCGTTGGCATTTTGTAATGATGTAAAAAAAAAAAAAAGGTCAAGGGGTGTTGTGCTTGTTTCGGCCTACAGAGAGAGCTGCTCGCTCTAGTGGTTGCATCATGTGCTCTTGCTCTACAGTGGCTCTCGCGCTAGCCTGCCTAGATGTATTTTTACTCCTCATAAAGCTGCTGCAAAGCTTATTTGCTGTTCTTTGTGTGGTTCCGTTTGTAAGACTGGCACAAGATGCACACATGCTAAACTGAAATGATTCATACGTGTCATGACTCATTGGTTTGAATTATAAGTAGCCAATATTTACAAAACCACACATTTCTGGTCTGCATTTCAAATGTTGTCTTTTCTTGTTAATACCCTATTTCAATATGATCGTTATCTCTCTCCCTCCTCCCTCATATTCTCCCTCTCTCACATGTGTTCCTCCAATGTCTGTATTATAAATAGTGTGCAGCATTGGGGAAACACAGTGCTGCTCCCACTCTGTCTCTGTCTGCAGCAGTGTGTTGCGTTCGGTGTGGGAGCAGCTCCCTTGTCTGCTTCCCCTCGAAATGACGAGTCATTTCTCCGAAGCTGCACTTCCTCTCTGCACAATCTTTGCTCTTGAGAAGATAAATAACAAACAGAAAAAATAGAGTTCCAGGGAAGAGGCAAGAAAGGGAGAAAAGGGAGAAAGAAAAGGGGAGAAGGAGAGGAAGAGAGAGAAAGGGGAAACAGAGAGCGAGCGAGGGGGAGGGGGGGGGGGGGGGGGCAGAGTGAAATGTTCTGCGATTGAATGAGAGAGAGAGACAAGAAGAGGAAACCTTTTTGACTGCCAACATCTTCTGGACCTGTCTGGATACACCAGCTAACAGACGACCGGTATCCCCTGAAGGAGCAGGAGGCAAAAAGCATGGAGGGGGAGGGGTGAAAAATAAAACAAAAGGCTAGAGACCAAATAGCTACCGTCTCTTCTGGCTCTGAATTTGGTACCGGTAGGTGAGTTCTGGATCTCTGCTCCTCTATGTTTTCGCTACATCTATTCATCTGCACTCCTCCATGTAAAATCCCAACGGCAGCTACTGTCTGTTACAGCTTTCTCTTCTCTGGCCATCTGACAGCATAATATAGACATTAAAACAGGAAATTATCTATCGCTTTTGCCTGACTACCTTCCTGCCTTGGAGAACTCAAATGGAGAGTCCAAACATCTGCCAGTCGTTGTCGTCTCCGACAGTTGAACCCATCTGTCATCTCCCGGAGCGTAGGCTTCTGTTGCTGGGGGGACAAGGAGCTGGGAAGAGCACCACAGGGAATGCCATCCTAGGTGAGGAGGTCTTCCAGACTGGGACAGAGACTGTCCACAGCACCGTTGGCCACGGGGGGGTCTGCGGGAGGCGGATCACTGTGGTTGACACCCCGGGCTGGATTATACCCCGTGACTCAGCGGATGATGCCACCGGGGGCCCGCCAGAGCGGGCTGGCGAGGAGGGACCCTGTGTCGGTGCCACCCTCTGTCCCCCAGGGCCCCACGTGCTCCTGCTGGTGGTCCCCGTGTCACAGCCCTTCACAGAGGGTCACAGGAAGGCAGCAGAGAAGCAGCTGGGTCATCTAGGAGGAGGGGCCTGGAGGTCCACCATGGTGCTCTTCACTGGGGTCGACCAGCTACCTGAGGGGACGTTCGTGGAGGAGTTCATCGCAGCTGGGGAGCCCCTTCAGTGGCTGGTGGAGAGGTGTGGTAACAGATACCATGGCCTGGATAGTAACACACAGCAGAGTGGGGATGACAATACCGTGAACACACAAGTTCAGGAGCTGCTGGAAAAGGTAGAGGAGCAGCTTAAGGACAACCATGGCTGGTATTTTGCAGTGAACGAACTGATTCTGCTAGAGGAGGAGCAGGCAAGGAAGGCGGTGGAAGAGAGGCGGGTGAGAGAGGAGCGGGAGGAGAAGGAGAGGCAGAGGCTGCGGATGGTCGGAGGGCCTCCCAGAGGTAACCAGCTCTTATTGCTTCACTCTTAGAAGAAAGGGTTTCAAAAGGGTTCTTCGGCTGTCCCCATGGGAGAACCATTTGAAGAACCCTTTTGAGTTCCAGGTAGAACTCTTTTGGATTCCATGTAGAATCCTCTGTGGAAAGGGTTCTACATGGAACCCCAAAAGGGTTCTACCTCAAATCAAATCAGATTTTATTTGTCAAATGCGCCGAATACAACAGGTGGAGACCTTACTGTGAAACGCTTACTTACAAGGCCTTAACCAACAATGCAGTTTTAAGGAAATAGAGTTAAGAAAATATTTACTAAATAAACTTAAGTAATAAATATATATAATAACACAATAAAATAACAATAATGAGGCTATATACAGGGGGTGCCGGTAATGAGTCAATGTGCTGGGGTACAGGTTAGTCGAGGCAATTTGTACATGTAGGTAGGGTATACCTGGAGTATACCTGGAACCCAACAGTGTGTCTTCAAAGGGTTTGTAACAACGGTTAATGTAATAACACCGGTTAACGTTGTTACAGGGTTCTACCATGGGGACACCCGAATAACCTTTTTAAATATAACCTTATTTTCTAAGAGTTTTGTATACTTGGCATAATAGTTCATAAAAGTTCATGAAGGTTTGCGCAAATAGCATACATGTTAAAAAGCTTTCTATCTCTCCCTGTCTCTCCCAGAGCTGAGGGTCCTCCTGCTGGGCTGGAAAGGAGTGGGAAAAAGTTCTGTAGGGAACACCATCCTGGGCAGGCGGGACTTTGAGTCGGGGACAGAGACGGTGCAGAGCCTTAGGAGGCAGGCCGAGGTGGCCGGACGCAGGGTCACCATCGTAGACACCCCCGGCTGGGACTGGTTCTCTGTCAGACGCACCCCCAAACACGTCAGACAGGAGTCGAAGCGAGGGGCCACCCTCCTCCGGCCTGGCCCCCACACCCTTCTCCTGGTGGTGCCCATCATCTCCACCCTCACTGCACGCAAGAGGCGGACCCTGGAGGCCCACCTGGAGGGCCTGTTTGGTGATAGGGCGTGTCTCCACACCATGGTGCTGTTTAGCTGCGGAGATTGGCTGGGCCGCACGCCCGTCGAGGAGCACATTCAGAGGGGAGGGCGGGAGCTCCACAGGTTGTTGGAATACTGTGGGAACTATTATCACGTGGTGGACAGCAAGATGCCGGGGAAGGACACAAGGAACATCTCAGATCTGCTGGACAAAATAGAGGAAATGATCAGAGAGAATGGTGATGAGGCCTTCTTGCCAATACAGAGTGAGTATAAATAAAGTATATACAGTGAGGGAAAAAAGTATTTGATCCCCTGCTGATTTTGTACGTTTGCTCACTGACAAAGAAATGATCAGTCTATAATTTTAATGGTAGGTTTATTTGAACAGTGAGAGACAGAATAACAACAAAAAAATCCAGAAAAACGCATGTCAAAAATGTTATAAATTGATTTGCATTTTAATGAGGGAAAATAAGTATTTGACCCCTCTGCAAAACATGACTTAGTACTTGGTGCCAAAACCCTTGTTGGCAATCACAGAGGTCAGACGTTTCTTGTAGTTGGCCACCAGGATTGCACACATATCAGGAGGGATTTTGTCCCACTCCTCTTTGCAGATCTTCTCCAAGTCATTAAGGTTTCGAGGCTGACGTTTGGCAACTCGAACCTTCAGCTCCCTCCACAGATTTTCTATGGGATTAAGGTCTGGAGACTGGCTAGGCCACTCCAGGACCTTCATGTGCTTCTTCTTGAGCCACTCCTTTGTTGCCTTGGCCGTGTGTTTTGGGTCATTGTCATGCTGGAATACCCATCCACGACCCATTTTCAATGCCCTGGCTGAGGGAAGGAGGTTCTCACCCTAGATTTGACGGTACATGGCCCCGTCCATCGTCCCTTTACTGCAGTGAAGTTGTCCTGTCCCCTTAGCAGAAAAACACCCCCAAAGCATAATGTTTCCACCTCCATGTTTGACGGTGGGGATGGTGTTCTTGGGGTCATAGGCAGAATTCCTCCTCCTCCAAACACGGCGAGTTGAGTTGATGCCAAAGAGCTCCATTTTGGTCTCGTCTGACCACAACACTTTCACCCAGTTCTCCTCTGAATCATTCAGATGTTCATTGGCAAACTTCAGACGGGCCTGTATATGTGCTTTCATGAGCAGGGGGACCTTGCGGGCGCTGCAGGATTTCAGTCCTTCACGGCGTAGTGTGTTACCAATTGTTTTCTTGGTGACTATGGTCCCAGCTGCCTTGAGATCATTGACAAGATCCTCCCGTGTAGTTCTGGGCTGATTCCTCACCGTTCTCATGATCATTGCAACTCCACGAGGTGAGCTCTTGCATGGAGCCCCAGGCCGAGGGAGATTTACAGTTATTTTGTGTTTCTTCCATTTGCGAATAATCACACCAACTGTTGTCACCTTCTCACCAAGCTGCTTGGCGATGGTCTTGTAGCCCATTCCAGCCTTGTGTAGGTCTACAATCTTGTCCCTGACATCCTTGGAGAGCTCTATGGTCTTGGCCATGGTGGAGAGTTTGGAATCTGATTGATTGATTGCTTCTGTGGACAGGTGTCTTTTATACAGGTAACAAGCTGAGATTAGGAGCACTCCCTTTAAGAGTGTGCTCCTAATCTCAGCTCATTACCTGTATAAAAGACACCTCTGAGGCATAAATCTTTCTGATTGAGAGGGGGTCAAATACTTATTTCCCTCATTAAAATGCAAATCAATTTTTGACATGCATATTTCTGGATTTTTGTGTTGTTATTCTGTCTCTCACTGTTCAAATAAACCTACCATTAAAATGATAGACTGATCATTTCTTTGTCAGTGGGCAAACGTACAAAATCAGCAGGGGATCAAATACTTTTTTTTACAAAAAAATAATGTTTGATCCATGGTATGACCATCTTAAAACAATTCCATATGTTAGCTTAGTACCCCACCCCAGAGAATACGTTTTGAGATAATTGGGTTGTTTGTGTTTGACAGTGGATGAAGACAGCCCTGGGTCATCTGAGAACAACAGCCCTGAAGAGGACTGTAGCAGAGGATGCCAGCTCCAGTAGTGTCAAGGGAGAAAGTAACCAAGAGCTGCTTGCACACTGTAAGGTGGACACGTTCCCACCGCCCAAGCCAAAACATTTACATTTCAAAGTGGCTTGGTGTAGAATTACACTGGAAATGAAATGAAAGAACACATACAATGGCTTTAGAAAGTATTCACACCCCTTGACTTTTTCAAAAAATTGAATAAGTCAAGGGGTGTGAATACTTTCTGAAGGCACTGTATATGTACTCAAAGTAGTTGGGTCATTCTTGAATTGCTGTGGCATTTGCATCCCTTGCCTTTGTAACCATGAAAAACACTAAAAAGGACAAATAGTTACACATCATTAATGTTTATATTGAACTGTTTATCAATGATAAAACATAATGCAAATCCTTCATACTGCAAAACTGTATGCAGTACTTAGGGCAAGCACATTGACCCAGTAGAGTTGTAGTGACATATTTTGGGCATTTAGAGATATCTATTATTTGGAATGCTAGAAAGTAAAGAACATATGTTGTATAGTTCAATGAAAACAAATAAGGCTATTAAAGAAGGAAAATAATGTGCAGTACCAGTCAAAAGTTTGGACACACCTACTCATTCCAGGGTTTTCTTCATTTTTACTATTTTCTACATTGTAGAATAATAGTGAAGACATCAAAACTATGAAATAACACATACGGAATCATTTAGTAACCAAAAAAGTGTTAAACAAATCAAAATATATTTGAGAATTGAGATTCCTCAAATAGCCACCCTTTGCCTTGATTACAGCTTTGCACACGCTTGACATTCTCTCAACCAGCTTCACCTGGAATGCTTTTCCAACAGTCTTGAAGGAGTTCCCACATATGCTGAGCACTTGTTGGCTGCTTTTCCTTCAATCTGCGGTCCGACTCATCCCAAACTATCTCAATTGGGTTGAGGTCGGGGGTTGTGGAGGCCAGGTCATCTGATGCAGCACTCCATCACTCTCCTTCTTGGTAAAATAGCCCTTACACAGCCTGGAGGTGTGTTGGTTCATTGTCCTGTTGAAAAACAAATGATAGTCCCACTAAGCCCAAACCAGATGGAATGGCGTATCGCTGCAGAACGCTGTGGTAGCCATGCCTGGTTAAGTGTGCCTTGAATTTGAAATAAATCACTGACAGTGTCACCAGGAAAGCACCCCCACACCATAACACCTCCTCCTCAATGCTTTACGGAGATCATCCGTTCACCCACACCACGTCTAACAAAGCCACGGTGGGTGGAACCAAAAATCACCAATTTGGACTCCAGACCAAAGAACACATTTCCACAGGTAGAGGTAACTCTGGGTCTTCCATTCCTGTGGCGGTCCTCATGAGAGCCAGTTTCATATGTTCCGTATTGACTGACCTTCATGTCTTAAAGTAATGATGGACTGTTGTTTCTCTTAAAAAGGCACACCTGTTAGTTGAAATGCATTCCAGGTGACTACCTCATGAAGCTAGTTGAGAGAAAGCCAAGAGTGTGAAAAGCTGTCATCAAGGCAAAGGGTGGCTATTTGAAGAATCTCAAATATAAAATATATTTTTTATTTGTAACACTCTTTTGGTTACTACATGATTCCATATGTGTTATTTCATAGTTTTGATGTCTTCACTATTATTCTACAATGTAGAAAATAGTAAAAAAATTAAGAAAAACCCTTGAATGAGTAGATGTGTCCATAGTTGACTGGTAGTGTATATAATAAAAAATATATATTTACCAAAAAATATATGGGGATTGGAAATGATGCAGATAATTACATTGATAGAAGCCACAATCTGTCTGCAATATTAACGCTGATCTACCCCCCCCCCCCCCCCCCCCCCCCCCCACAAAAAAAATACAAAAAAACAAGACTATTAAAATACCTACTTTTTTTAAACGGATATAATATGTTTCCTTAAGTTTTATGTCATTGGTGTTACCGCCTTGAAAATCACTCATTACAAAGATATATAAGGCAACAGTATACATGTCGTCCCCCACGAATGATGCAGCCTTGGGCCAATTAGTAACAACAATTCAAACAAGGGTAACACTTTATTTGAAGGTACACATACTAGCCACTATTTTGTAGTTTATAAGTATGTATATAAGTAGCTTATAAGGCCTTAATTAAGTGAGTTGTTATTCAAAGGCATGTAATACTGGCCAATCCTTAATAACCTAATTATTAGCTATAATAAAGTCATATTTATAGTTAATAAGTAGCAAGTTACACAAAAATCTGTCTCAATGTGGTATTAATAAGGGCATAGTACCTGAATATGTGTTCCCTATTCTGAAGTGTGACGTTATTTTTACTTGCAGAATATTTTTTTTCCATTAATGACCTCATTGGACAGAAAGGGGCACACCTCCCTCATATACAGTGGGGAGAACAAGTATTTGATACACTGCCGATTTTGCAGGTTTTCCTACTTACAAAGCATGTAGAGGTCTGTAATTTTTTATCATAGGTACACTTCAACTGTGAGAGACAGAATCTAAAACAAAAATCCAGAAAATCACATTGTATGATTTTTAAGTAATTAATTTGCATATGTCTGTGATATGGGGTTGCCTCAACTGATGTGGTTGCCTCAATTGAAATGTAAATGAAGGGCAATTACAATGCTAGCAAAATTATTCATCATATCACTTTAGTAAATTATTTTGAAAGGGTTAAAGAGTTAATATTTGACTGTCTGTGGCCTCCATTTAAGAAAATCCTAATTTACCAAAAATGTGTCATTGGTGTTACCGTCATTGGTGTTACTACTACTACTGGTGGCACAATGTTATCATAATGGTATAAATTATTTAAAGTCATTAAACTGTCATATTAGTTTATTTGAAATGGGAAGATGTACCCAAATACATTTAAATAATTACAATCTAGAGCATGGACGTTTCCAAAATCCCCAAATGCCACTGCAATTCAATAACGACCCAGTTGTCATTGTTTCCATCAAGGAGTTATGGTAATTACAAACGCAACTACGCATTATGAATACATTGTCTTATAAATGCATGTGTGCTGGGCATCCTAAAGATAAAAGGTACTCTTAAAATAATCACATCAATCATATCATTTTACCAGGCTTTGGTTTGTTTCTTCAGAACAATACTAAACTGGAATGTAGTAAGGGATATTCTGTGAGATAGCACTGCCGTGTATTATTGAAATCTAACATTAACTTTTTATTTGAAATATCGCAACTCTGACACTTCTAATGCTTTACTGACTGTTTCATCTAGTAGTGCATTGCAGTACACATACTTAAAAATGCATGCACATGATGTTATTTGAATGTTCAATTACACTGAAATTCATGGAAACAACATGTACATTAAACATTTTGCACTGTATGTACTGAATGTACTGTTTATTGCTAGGATATGGGGTGGTTGTTTAGTGTTAGCACATAGTACAGGGGTAGGCCACCCTGTTCCTGGAGTGCCTCAGGTACTGCAGGATTTTATCCCAACTAGGCACCACACTGAGCTACTTAGTTAATTGATCAGTTTGGTGATTTCCTAAATTCAATCTGGTCCTCTAGGCCGGTTAAATCAAAAACAGGACCACAGTTGCCTAACCCTGACATAGTAGGTGGACAGCATACTACCACTACCACGCTCCATCCCCAAGTGGCAGCACCAACCGGGTCAGGTATTGTGCTCTGCCAAGAAGCCTCGATAAGCACACAGGTGCGGGCAATTAAGTCAATCACTGAGAGAAAGGTGGCCACAAGCCTCTCGGCCTGGCAGCGTTTGTTTTGTGTTAGCTTTAGTTTTGGGGCATGCCTCTTTGTACTTTTGTTTTTATATATATTTATTTTGTCACCATGAACTGAACAAGTCGATAATCTGCTTGGGCTGGCCAACTAAGGGGTCAAGACGGAGCTGGCCCTGGACCCCGGTAAGTTTGCTGTGTCCTGGGCAACACGGTCCGTATACTCTAACTTCTCACATAAATGCACACTTAAAATCAGGTTACAGCCCATGTAGCTAGTCCTAGGACCCCTAGACATAGCGAGTGCAACAATATCAGTAGGGTAGCTAGCTGGTATTGTAACATTATCCCTTGTGTAGTGATGTGTAATGAGTGTGTAGTCTTAAAACATTAGGAGCTGGTTTCCCAGACACATATTAAGCCTAGTACTTTGACTATTGCATGCTCACTGAAGAATCTGTCAAATACAGTGGGGAAAAAAAGTACTTAGTCAGCCACCAATTGTGCAAGTTCTCCCACTTAAAAAGATGAGAGAGGCCTGTAATTTTCATCATAGGTACACGTCAACTATGACAGACAAAATGAGAAAAACAATTCCAGAAAATCACATTGTAGGATTTTTCATGAATTTATTTCCAAATTATGGTGGAAAATAAGTATTTGGTCAATAACAAAAGTTTCTCAATACTTTGTTATATACCCTTTGTTGGCAATGACACAGGTCAAATGTTTTCTGTAAGTCTTCACAAGGTTTTCACACACTGTTGCTGGTATTTTGGCCCATTCCTCCATGCAGATCTCCTCTAGAGCAGTGATGTTTTGGGGCTGTCGCTGGGCAACACGGACATTCAACTCCCTCCAAAGATTTTCTATGGGGTTGAGATCTGGAGACTGGCTAGGCCACTCCAGGACCTTGAAATGCTTCTTACGAATCCACTCCTTCGTTGCCCGGGCGGTGTGTTTGGGATCATTGTCATGCTGAAAGACCCAGTCACGTTTCATCTTCAATGCCCTTGCTGATGGAAGGAGGTTTTCATTCAAAATCTCACGATACATGGCCCCATTCATTCTTTCCTTTACACGGATCAGTCGTCCTGGTCCCTTTGCAGAAAACAGCCCCAAAGCATGATGTTTCCACCCCCATGCTTCACAGTAGGTATGGTGTTCTTTGGATGCAACTCAGCATTCTTTGTCCTCCAAACACGACGAGTTGAGTTTTTACCAAAAAGTTATATTTTGGTTTCATCTGACCATATAACATTCTCCCAATCCTCTTCTGGATCATCCAAATGCACTCTAGCAAACTTCAGACGGGCCTGGACATGTACTGGCTTAAGCAGGGGGACACGTCTGGCACTGCAGGATTTCAGTCCCTGGCGGTGTAGTGTGATACTGATGGTAGGCTTTGTTACTTTGGTCCCAGTTCTCTGCAGGTCATTCACTAGGTCCCCCTGTGTGGTTCTGGGATTTTTGCTCACCGTTCTTGTGATCATTTTGACCCCACGGGGTGAGATCTTGCGTGGAGCCCCAGATCGAGGGAGATTATCAGTGGTCTTGTATGTCTTCCATTTCCTAATAATTGCTCCCACAGTTGTTTTCTTCAAACCAAGCTGCCTACCTATTGCAGATTCAGTCTTCCCAGCCTGGTGCAGGTCTACAATTTTGTTTCTGGTGTCCTTTGACAGCTCTTTGGTCTTGGCCATAGTGGAGTTTGGAGTGTGACTGTTTGAGGTTGTGGACAGGTGTCTTTTATACTGATAACAAGTTCAAACAGGTGCCATTAATACAGGTAACGAGTGGAGGACAGAGGAGCCTCTTAAAGAAGAAGTTACAGGTCTGTGAGAGCCAGAAATCTTGCTTGTTTGTAGGTGACCAAATACTTATTTTCCACCATAATTTGCAAATAAATTCATAAAAAATCCTACAATGTGATTTTCTGGAATTTCTTTTCTCAATTTGTCTGTCATAGTTGACGTGTACCTATGATGAAAATTACAGGCCTCTCTCATCTTTTTAAGTGGGAGAACTTGCACAATTGGTGGCTGACTAAATACTTTTTTTCCCCACTGTATACCAGGACTAACAACAGAAAACCATTGTAACTTCAGTCCAGCCCCCACTCTGTCTGCAGCAACATGTTATTTTCTGTGTGGGAGCAGCTCCCTAACATGTTTCGTCTGAATAATGAATCACTTTCCAGAGAAGAGCTGCACTGTGTTGACTTCCCGTCTGCATTGCGCACAATCTGTTCTCTTTAAGGCTGAATATTAAGAGATACAAGAGTTTTCCGGGAATGTGAGGGCAAGGCCGACCGAAAGACCATTAGAGTGGGAGGAAGAAAGAGGAAGGGAGAGCAAGAGGGGAAGAGTAAGCGAGAGATGGGATAGAGTAAAATGTTTTGCGATAGAATGAGAGAGCCAAGAAGACGAGAACCTATTTGGCTGTCAGCATCTTGTGGAGCTCTCTCTGTTTACACAGTCTAACAGACTGAGACTATCCCCTGAAGGGCTGTGTAGAAGGGAGGTGGGTAGTGAGAAAGAAAACAACAAGAGGCTAGAGTCAAAATGGCTACAGTCTTCTCTGGCTCTTAATCTGGTACCCGTAATTGAGTTTAGTTTCTGAATGTCAGGTATCCATCCGCACTCCTTCTTGCACAATCCCAGCATCTGCTGTCAACTTTATCACAGCATAGAGACTAAAACAGGAAACTAACTGTCCCTTTTGCTTGACTACCTTCCTGCTGTAGAGAGCAAAAATGATGAGTCAAAACAGCAGTCAGTGGTTGTTGTTGTCGTCTCCAACAAGAGAACCCATCTGTCATCTCCTGGAGCGCCAGCTCCGGTTGCTGGGGGGGGGGCCAGGAGCTGAGAATCGAACTACAGGAAATGCCATCCTAGGTGAGGAGGTCTTCCAGACTAGGGCAGAGGCTGTGCACAGCTCCGTTGGCCATGGGGAAGTCTGCGGATCACCGTAGTTGACACCCCAACCTGGATTACATCCTGTGACTCAGCGGATAATGCCACTGGGGCCCCACCAGAACGGGTGAGCGAGGAGGGACTGTGTGTCGTTGCCACACTCCGTCACCCAGGGCCCCACGCGCTTCTACTTGTGGTCCCCGTGTCGCAGTCCTTCAGGCTGCAGAGAAGCAGATAGGTCATCTAGGTGGAGGGGCCTGGAGGTCCACCATCGTACTCTTCACTGGAGGAGTTCATCACGGCTAATGGGAAGCCCCTGATGGAGAGGTGTGGTAACAGATACCATGGCCTGGATAGTAACACACAGCAGAGTGGGGATGACAATACGGTGAACACACAAGTTCAGGAGCTGCTGGAGAAGGTAGAGGAGCTGGTTAAGTACAACCATGGCTGGTATTTTGCAGCTGGAGTAGGAGCAAGCAAGGAGGGCGGTTGAGGAGAGGAGGGTGAGGGAGGAGATGCAGAGGCTCCGGATGATCTTTGCGCTTCCCAGAAGTGAGCAGCTGTAATTGCTTGAATACCTGCCATAATAGTTCAAGCAAATACAGTGCAGTTATAAAGCTTTTTCCTCTTGCTGGGCTGGAAAGTTATGTCGGGAACACCATCCTGGGTCAGAGGGCCTTTGAGTCGGGGACAGAGATGGAGCAGAGCCTCTTCCAGCCCGGCCCCCATATAACCACCACAAGTTCTAGGATGGGGTCAACAGAGACCTGAACTGGGTACCGGTATGGAAAACACACAACACAGGATTATCGAAAATATAGTTTCATTACAAACATCTCATGTAAGAATTTACAAACAGGGCTGTACTTGGTGGGCTTGGAATCGCACAAAAAAGGCAAGTTACAGTGTGTCAGTCTTCAGCACAAAATGTCTACTGCAATAATTTAGTGGTTCCATACAATGTTCAAGTCTTGAAAGTATCTTAGTCAGCACAGCAAACAGGTGGAAAACGCAGCAAACCAGATCCTAGTGTAAAACGCAACAAAGCACACACTGTAGTCAATAAGGATTTAAAAATCAAAAGATATAACAGACTGACCCTAGCCCCCCGGCACATAGACTATTGCAGCATAGATACCGGAGGCTGAGACAGGGGGGGTTGGGAGACACTGTGGCACCGTCCGACGATACTTTTTATATTTGAGATTCTTCAAATAGCCATCCTTTGCCTTGATGACAGCTTTGCACACTCTTTAGAATTCAAGGCACACTTAACCAGCATCGCTACCACAGCATTCTGCAGCAATACGCCATCCCATCTGGTTTGGGCTTAGTGGGACCATCATTTGTTTTTCAACAGGACAATGACCCAACACACCAGACTGTGTAAGGGCTATTTTACCAAGAAGGAGAGTGATGGAGTGCTGCATCAGATTTGATGTCTTCACTATTATTCTACAATGTAAAAATAAAGAAAAACCATTGAATGAGTAGGTGTGTTCAAACTTTTGACTGGTACTGTATGTGTGTATATATATATATATATATATATATATATTTACATACACTTAGGTTGGAGTCATTAAAACTATAGTTTTGGCAAGTCGGTTAGGACATCTACTTTGTGCATGACACAAGTAATTTTTCCAACAATTCTTTACAGACAGATTATTTCACTTATAACTCACTGTATCACAATTCCAGTGGGTCAGAAAATGATGTCATGGCTTTAGAAGCTTCTGATAGGCTTATTGACATCATTTGAGTCAATTGGAGGTAATATATATAATATGCCATTTAGCAGACGCTTTTATCCAAAGCGACTTACAGTCATGCGTGCATACATTTTTGTGTATGGGTGGTCCCGGGGATCGAACCCACTACCTTGGCGTTACAAGCGCCGTGCTCTACCAGCTGAGCTGCAGAGGACCATATATTTATATTATTATTATAATTGGAGGTGTACCTGTGGATGTATTTCAAGGCCTACCTTCAAACTCAGTGCCTCTTTGCTTGACATCATGGGAAAATCAAAAGAAATCAGCCAAGGTACCACGTTCATCTGTACAAACAATAGTACGCAAGTATAAACACCATGGGACCACGCAGCCGTCATACCGCTCAGGAAGGAGATGCGTTCTGTCTCCTAGAGATGAACGTACTTTGGTGCGAAAAGTGCAAATCAATCCCAGAACAACAGCAAAGGGCCTTCTGAAGATGCTGGAGGAAACAGGTACAAAAGTATCTAAATCCACAGTAAAACAAGTCCTATATCGACATAACCTGAAAGGCCCCTGCAAGGAAGAAGCCACTGCTCCAAAACCGCCATAAAAAAGCCAGACTACGGTTTGCAACTGCACATGGGGACAAAGATCGTACTTTTTGGAGAAATGTCCTCTGGTCTGATGAAACAAAAATAGAACTGTTTGGCCATAATGACCATTGTTATGTTTAGAGGAAAAAGGGGGACGCTTGCAAGCCGAAGAACACCATCCCAACCGTGAAGCACGGGGGTGGCAGCATCATGCTGTGGGGGTGCTTTGCTGCAGGAGGGACTGGTGCACTTCACAAAATAGATGGCATCATGAGGAAGGAAAATTATGTGGATATATTGAAGCAACATCTCAAGACATCAGTCAGAAAGTTAAAGCTTGGTCGCAAATGGGTCTTCCAAATGGACAATGACCCCAAGCATACTTCCAAAGTTGTGGCAAAATGGCTTAAGGACAACAAAGTCAAGGTATTGGAGTGGCCATCACAAAGCCCTGACCTCAATCCTATAGAATATTTCTGGGCAGAACTGAAAAAGCGTGTGCGAGCAAGGAGGCCTACAAACCTGATTCAGTTACACCAGCTCTGTCAGTAGGAATGGGCCAAAATTCACCCAACTTATTGTGGGAAACTTGTGCAAGGCTACCTGAAACGTTTGACCCAAGTTAAGCAATTTAAAGGCAATGCTACCAAATACTAATTGAGTGTATGTAAACTTCTGACCCACTGGGAATGTGATGAAAGAAATAAAAGCTGAAATAAATCATTCTCTCTACTATTATTCTGACATTTCACATTCTTAAAATAAAGTGGTGATCCTAACTGACCTAAAACAGGGACTTTTTACTAGGATTAAATGTCAGGAATTGTGAAAAACTGAGTTTAAATGTATTTGGCTAAGGTGTATGTACATTTCCGACTTCAACTGTATACACTACCGTTCTAATGTTTTGGGTCACTTAGAAATGTCCTTGTTTTCGAAAGAAAAGCAATTTTTTTGTCCATTAAAATAACATCAAATTGATCAAAAATACAGTGTAGACATTGTTAATGTTGTAAATAGCTATTGTAGCTGGAAACGGCTGATTTTTTATGGAATATCTACATAGGCGTACAGAGGCCCATTATCAGCAACCATCAGTCCTGTGTTCCAATGGCACGTAGTGTTTGCTAATCCAAGTTTATCATTTTAAAAGGCTAATTGATCATTAGAAAACCCTTTTGTAATTTATGTTTGCACTGCTGAAAACTGTTGTGCTGTTTAAAGAAGCAATAAAACTGGCCTTCTTGAGACTAGTTGAGTATCTGGAGCATCAGCAATTGTGGGTTCGATTACAGAATCAAAATGGCCAGAAACAAAGAACTTTCTTCTGAAACTCATCAATCTATTCTTGTTCTGAGAAATGAAGGCTATTCCATGCGAGAAATTGCCAAGAAACTGAAGATCTCGTACAACGCTGTGTACTACTCCCTTCACAGTACAGCGCAAACTGGCTCTAACCAGAATAGAAAGAGGAGTGGGAGGCCCCGGTGCACAACTGAGCAAGAGGACAAATACATTAGTGTCTAGTTTGAGAAACAGATGCCTCACAGGTCCTCAACTGGCAGCTTCATTAAATAGTACCCGCAAAACACCAGTCTCAACGTCAACAGTGAAGAGGCGACTCCGGGATGCTGACCTTCTAGGGAGAGTTGCAAAGAAAAAGCCATATCTCAGACTGGCCAATAAAAAGAAAAGATTAAGATGGGCAAAAGAACACAGACACTGGACAGAGGAAGATTGGAAAAAAGTGTTATGGACAGACGAATCGAAGTTTGAGGTGTTCGGATCACAAAGAAGAACATTTGTGAGACGCAGACCAAATGAAAAGATGCTGGAGGAGTGCTTGATGCCATCTGTCAAGCATGGTGGACGCAATGTGATGGTCTGGGGGTGCTTTGGTGGTGGTAAAGTGGGAGATTTGTACAGGGTAAAAGGGATCTTGAAGAAGGAAGGTCGTCAGGTAAGCTTGGCGTCGGGTAAGCTTGGCTTTATACATAGCTTGGGCTTTGTCGAGTAAGGCTTAAACTATGTATTTAGATTGTAGTTAGGTATTGTAGGTAGTTATCGTGGGTTGTTGTATGTAATTATTGTAGGTTAGTATTGTATTCGGCTGTGCCCGGTGTAGCACGAAGCTAGCTAGCTAACCCACCACCTGGACTAGCTGGCGAGTAGCTATTAGCAACGGTATAGTTGTTTCACGCCTGAGAGTGCCTGTAATTACGCCAGCTGGCTGCCTACAATAATTACATACAATAATTGCCTACCATTCAGCTGTTTTCTGACCTCATTGTCTGAACCGTTAACGTTAGGTAGCAAGTGGCTACTGTGCTTGAAATTTAGCTAGTTTGTTGCTACCTGGATAGCTACTAGCAAACAATAGCTGGAACGACCGAGCGAACAGACGCGAACTGGCTGAGTCAATTCAGTGGCTAGCTTTGCACTTGGCTAGCTAACAGTAGCTGCTAGGGGTAAGTCATAACCTACATTTGTGTTTTGTTTTTTACATATTGATAGCCCGAGTCGTTCAAGGAATTCGGGACATGGGTGACTAGTTAACGTTAGTTTGGCTCTCTCTGTGTCGTGCCGTGAAAGGAGGGGTTCTTCTTTGTCTGAAAGCAATGGCTAGCTAGTTTGCTAACTATTCTAGCTAACTAACTGGCTGAATAAGTTGACGACGGACTCGCTCAAGCTGTCGGGACTAACCCACAACGTTAGACACGGACACGAACGATCTGCTTGCGTGTTGATACACTGGTGGTTTGTTGTGGCCGAGTATTGGCGCTAAACCGTGTTGTTGGAGTCCGGCATGCTAGCTGGCTGTGGCGTCTTATGACTAGGTGCCCGGACGATTTTCACGGAATAATACTGCACCTAGTTAGCTAGCTGAATAAACTAAGTTAGTCTATTCCTAGAAAACATTGAACCGCTGTAGTTTACAACAATTATAGTTTCTGAGGTGGAAGTTGGGAGAGTTATATTTGGGAGTTGTGGTGAGGGAGGCCCCGCTCTCTCCTTTCCCAGATGTTTAGTTCATTTCATTCTGATCTCCTCTGCATTATTGTAGCCATCTGCTGCAGCCTGTCAACTATGCCTCTGCCTATCCCTGTTCTCTCCTCTCCGCACAGGCTACACAAACGCCTCACACCGCGTGGCTGCTGCCTCTCTAACCTGGTGGTCCC